GTTATTTTTTTTCCTTTGCTATCTAGTTGAAATAGACCAAATATACTAAACTAATGAAAGTACAGTGGAAAGAGACTTGTAGTCACAGTTCAAAATTGAGGACTCCCATTTACTGCTTATGTGACCTGGGGTAAGCTGTTTCACCTCTCTAGGCCTCAATTTCCTCTATAAAATGAAGAAGTTGGAGTAGATCAGGGGGAGCCAACAGGCCTCCTGAACCAGATTAAAATGTAATTGGGAAATATTTAACAAAAGAAATAAAAATATAACTAAACATGGATAAGGTTAATTTGTGGTTTTCCAAGTCAATATGCAGCCTGCAGAGATCCTCATGTAGAGTTTAGTGGCCTCTATTTCTTTTTTTTAATTTAATTTATCTTATTCTGAACTTAAGAAATAAAACAAACATTCCCATTTCTATTTGAGCTTGACATCACTAGACTAAGTGACATCTAAGTTCCCTTCCAGGTCTAGATCTTTGAGCCTATGATTTTTAATTTTTGTTTTTTTTTGTCACTTAAAAATTAAAAAAAAAAATAGAGCGTTTCCATATATGCAACAAAACACACAAAAAAGAAGATTCTATATGAAATCATTAATCTCCGAATCAAACTGTTTGCTTTTATGAGCCTGTGATATTGATGCACCATTCATGAACTATTATCAAAAGTAGGAAGCCTAAACTTCTATTGCAAAATGGATAGGGATAGGGACTGGACCTGTCATTCACTGGCACAGAGAACTCCCAGGTAAGGAAACTTCATTCGCCAAAACAGGTTAAGTACCTCTGTTGCACAATCTTAGAGAGTTGCCTAGCCCTAGAGTACTGAGAAGTTAAGCAACCTGCTCAGGGTCTCACAGCCAGTATGTGAGAGACAGATCTTGAATCCAGGCCTTCCTCGCTCCAAGGCCAGATCTCTCACCTCTGTGGATATTTGTATTGCTGTGTCTTAGTATAAGAAAATTTACGTGCTGCTGCTAATTCTATTCTAAAGCACACAAGCAAAGAATAATCTGTAGGGGACATGGGAAGTCAGAAGGCTTAAAATAGTGGGATAAGGAGTCATCCCTGTGGACTAAATGAGTTCTCAGGCTACTTTCTAGGCCACTGGTCCTACGTCTTTATGTAGCACAGAGCTACGTAAATTGGTTCTCTACATTTACAGTGGCATTTGGAGTCATTTTCACAGTGCACCATAGAAAGGATTCTCATTTCCTTCATAACAGATTGAGTGGCTGTAGGGAAGGAGATGTCCATGGTGCTTAGAAATCTCAGTCTTCCTTCATACTTGCCTTTGAAGGCATATGGGGTACACCTTTAGAGTCTTATTATCTTGCTCTGTTTCTTTTCCTTTTTGGGGGGGTCCAGACCTGTAATTCCATCACTATGGGTACCTCTACTATGGATACTCTCTCCATTAACACATACCTACAACTTATTTGTACATGATGGCCTCAGAGAGAAACAGAGATGCCTGGGGCCATGAGAAGTTAAATGTTTCTCTCTGGTCACACAGCTAGCTTATGCAAGGGTCAGCTTTCGAACCCAGGTCTTGCCTCCAAGGCAGGCTCATGGTTAGCAATAAAACTTACTGAACTGAAATAAATTCAGACACTGAGGATGAGTTTTCAGTAGGAATTATTATTCATCAGATACATCCGTAGAATTATTTACTTTCCTTCTTCCCCAAACTGTCTAGTATACCTAATTTAGCATTTCAATGGCATCATGCCACCAAGAAAGAGCCTGAGCATCACTTATTCTCCCCTCGTTCTCTTACAGACAGTTTCAAGAAAAATGCCAGGCTCGCCCACATTTCTTACAGCTTAATATATCTACGGAGACCTCACTCAAAGCTACTTCCGTTCTTTCCTAACTCTATATATCTACATTTTCTTATCAAACCTAAGAGAGCACAAGAATCTTCATGAGACCAGCAAACCCATGAAAGCCTAGCCAAAAAGGCAATAAAAAGTCAAATGTCTTATTTCTGTTTCTTGTTTCTTTAGTAACTAGGTAGATATGAGTTTGAATGACTATAAAAGTACCTTCTCTTTTAAGGCTCTTTCCCTCTTTATATACCACCCCCTTCTGTTAGTGGTTCAAGCTTTTGGGTGTCTGCCACATGTCTATATTTTATGTAAGGGGGGCAAGCTTTGTCTCAGAATAATAGTGACATTTATGTATCACTTTAAGATGCAAAAAGCATCTTAACCATCTTCCCTGAATCCCAGCTCTCCTTGCAACTTGAGAACTAATGCATAAATTCAGAATTCAACAGCCACAGACAAGAAGGTGGGGCGCGGGGGGAGGGAGGGAGGTGATACAGGTTAGGGTATACTGAAATAAACATGATACTCATCTGTGGATGAGCCCAGAGGGGGCCTTAAATTAGAAACCAGACACAAATGGCCATGTGGGTGGAATCCTGACTTGAGCTTACTGAATACCTCAATTGACTGCTGAATTTTAAGGAAGTGGGAAGGGAAGATTCTAAATGAATAAATTCCTCACTATAGCTGTTGCACACCTTGATAATGTAGCACGGGGGTATGGAGAGGCTATAAACAGTTTGCTTGTTTCCTTTACAGTAAGAGATTTTGGAGAATGGAAGTCATCTTAATCTGGATAACCTCCCCACTGAAAACCTGACTTCAGAGTTTTCTTTGTGTCTTCTATTTAGTTCTGTATTTTACTAATGCTATATGCAAAGTATTTCATGCACTAAAAAGCATTACATAATTGTAAGCACTCACTGTCATTATTAATATCCTTGCTTTATACATACACTCATAGTATTATGCCCCTTTGTGGTGGAAAAAAAAATGGGATTAGTTTAGCAGCATTGATCACTATCATTGGCCTAAATATTAAGTGAACCTTATTTTAAATTCTTAGAATTAGCCCCAGACTTAATCAGCTAATGAACTGTACTAACTCATTTAGAAAGCCTCCTTGGAAATAAAGACTATTATCTGTCATCAATGAAGCAGCTTTTAAGTAAACCAGGTACTTTTTTATGAAGAGAAAAAAAAAACAACAAAAACAGTTAGATTAATCTTTACCCCACAGTCTGTGAGGCATTTGAGTGCAGGGAGGCAGGCAGTTTCTACTAGGAACAGAAATCTCCTAGGCTTGGAATAAAGAATTTGGGCAAATGCCTTCTCCTCTATGAGCCTCGGTTTCCTCATCTGTAAAATGAAGATAACAATACTTGTACTGCCTAACTCACAGGGCTGTCCTGCAGCTTAAACAAGATAATATATATTAATCAGTATTAACACAAGGGTCGCAAACTATTTTAATAAAGGATGATATGCTCCAACCTTCTTCCTATCATTCTTCTCAAGACTGAAATAATAATGTGTATATAATAGACACTGAATGAACATTTTCTTATGGATTTTCCATCTATAATTTTCAAGACTCTCTGGTGTTTGTTTTTGTTTTGTTTGATTTTAAAAGCACTGAGAAGGGAAGGGAAAATAATGAATGTGATTTCATTTTTAAAAGTTCAGAGAATTTCAAAGAATAAGAAAGGTGAAGAGAAAGTTAGGCTAGGGCCTGACAACGTGTTAACAACATTGGTTCTACTTTATTTCTAATAGCACCTTAGTTATTTGTTAGGAGCAAGGGAGTAGAAATGATCAAATTCTAAGGCAATGTTAAGTAATGTGCATTTTTATATATATCTTAAAGCAATCAAATGGTTAAAATGTGAAACATAAACTTAGCCCACTAAAGAGTCAAGAAAATGCACATCTCTCCTTTCCTGGAAGAAATGGTACACTATGTGGGTGGAATATTGCATACACTGTCAGGCATCTCATCTGTTGGGTGGTTTTGCTGGATTGCTTTTTCTTCCTCTCCCTCTTTTTTATTTGTTACAATAGATGGCTTTTTGGGTAAGAGAGGGGAAAGGATATATTCAGTAATATCCCAATATCAGGAAAATCCCAAGTGATGTGAAAAAGAAAAGATAACATATATATTTATATGTGTTGTGTGTATGTATATAATATATATATATATATATATATAATTAAACCCTTTCATTTTATTGGCTACTTTATATTTGTGACAATATGGTATTCTTAGAGGAATCCTATCAATACCCTGGGTCAATTTGTACTTTAAAATATGAACTGCGAAATTATTGTGAAACGTGAAGCCTACCATTCCCATGGGATGCTCACACCCTCATGTGTCAAAGTGCTTTTAGCTTGTCCAAATTAAATTATTGGCCTGTAGACTTATATAACACATAAAACATTACTTTTTCTTGCAAGTATGAGCAGAGAGTCAGGAAGAAGTTTTGTGAGTGCCTGAACATTTCCTCGAGAGCAACATTGTGCCCAAAGCAAATCTGGCCATCTTTAAATGGAAGATGATATTAATAAAAAAAAAAATCCTTTTCAGAAGGACTTGCATAAAAGGAAGCTGACATATATAACTAAAAATGTAGTGTTACTATGAAAAAATAGAGAAATGTCAAAAATGCAAATACAAAAGCAAGTCAAATTTCTAGAGCATTTTTCAATATAAAATTTTAAAAACAAATTTCCGTAACGGTCCCTCTATTAGTCACACAAAATATAATATATGCTAGTTTTAATATGAAAGGAGAAATTCATAGAATCATTTAACCACTAAAATGTGAGGTAGCTATTTTTAAAAAGGAAATTTTCTAGCAACACTAAGGTTAAAATTTAAAAATTCAATACCTTTAAGATGAAAGCTTTTAATAATAGCAAAACTAAAAATTTAAAGTCAGGGGAAAAGGGAGATTGAACTAAGATCTCTATGGCTCCTTCCAGCTGTAACATTCCAGGATTCTATGATTCTATGAAAACACTGAAAAAACAAGATTAGTTTCCGTGTTATTTCTTCATTAAAAAATAAAATGAATATTCTTCATAGGTGGAAATTGGGATGACAAGAACCTTTTAGGATGTAAACCATTTTAGGATAGCATATTTGGGTTTTTCTTACCACATACCTCTGCTCTCGATAATTTCTTTCCATCGATGAGAAGAGGGAAAAAACAACAACGATAATTAGTTACGTATGTGTCTAGTTCAGGGAGGACACTACTCATAATTGTAGTGTTTTGGTACTCTTTGGAAGGTTTGTGTCAGCAGACTCTGAGTCGCAGGATTGTACAATTCATGATATATATACAATTTGGGAACATCGCTATGGGAATCTTGACACCCCCCCCACACAAAATGCATGAAGTATGTGACAGCGATGGTCTTTTTCCCCCCACAACCCTCACCCAAGCAAGCTGAACCACTCTCCGTCTCTGTTTCCTAAAGGGTAGAATGGGGATAATAATACCACCTTCTTCCCAGGGCTGTGAGGATCAAATGAGGTATCTGTGAAGCACCTTGCAAACCTTAAAGTGCTATATAAATGCTAGTTACTATTATTATTATCAACTATAATTACAATAATAATAACAATAATTTCCTTCTCTCTTTCACATGGTTTAAGAACCACTGGAACCTTCAGCTCTGCTTCAAATGGGCAGACTAGTAAAATAAATCTCTGGGTCAGTCTTGTACAAGGGATTGTGCTACTGTGATTTTCTGTGATAGGCAGTCATGAAGTTACAACTGTTGTTGTTATTGTTTGTCGTTAGCACATGGTATCTCGTAGACCTTTTCCTCTACTTTTGGGATTCTATAATTTCATAAACCTAATACCAGGCTCCCTTCCTTCCCCCAAATGATTTTGTTGTCAAATTAAAGAATTAGTCTTATACTATTTTACAAATGTCATTCTTGTATTTTAAGGATTTACAGGATCCAAAGATATTCTGTGGTGAAATACTGAACTTGGGAGACGAAGGTGCTCTCAACAGACATCAGACTTGAGAAAGGTCATCTTCCCAAAGGCCTCCTGGGATGTGTACTTTACTGTAAAAATACTATAATATGATTTTGCCATCACTTTTTATGACCTGTGGCCATGATGGCATTCACATGAAAGGGGGGCTTTTTGAGAAGCATTTTGATATGACTCTTCTATTTCTTTAAAATGTATTGTCAACTTTCCACATTGTTAATAACCTAAGGTCAACACAGGAGAAAAGAAGCCCAAACAATAGGCTTGGATGATATTTTTTCCGAGGCAGGGATCCACCACCAGTTTTGTAACACGAGAGTTCCCAGCTATCTTAGGGAGGGTTACAAAATTCTCAAAAGAAAATATATGTATATGTACAGATATATATAGATATAGATATAGATATACACACACACACACACATATATATAATTGTCCCATTGTGGTTAATATATATATATATATCTATATATATATATCTATAACATTGACCTATTGTGGTTACTAGAGGTGTGTGTGCATACACACACACACACACACACACACACACACACACACACACATATATGAAATTGGCCCACTGTGGTTACTGGAGGTATATACACACACACACACACACACACACACATATATATGAAATTGGCCTACTGTGGTTACTAGAGGTACATATATATAAATATATATATATATACACACACATACATACATATTATATATATATAATATATATAATTGGCCCATTGTGGTTACCATATATATATAATTGGCCCACTGTGGTTAATACACACACACACACACACACACACACACACACATATATATATATACATACATATATATAATTGGTCCATTGTGGTTTGTATGTGTATGTATGTATATATGTATGTATGTATATGTGTGTGTGTGTGTATACACACATATATGATATATATATATATATGATTGGCCCATTGTGGTTACTAGAGGGTGTTTTGCATTTGATTTGTGTGCTTCTTTGAGAGTGAACAAAGGTAAAGCTAAGGTGTCCTAATGATATTGCAGAGCTCGTTTGTAATCCTTTGGATGTTTCAGCTTCTTCTATGAGGGCCTGAAAGGACTCCAAGGATGAGGTGAGGTCCTGAGGGATCTGACCATGGAGTGGTGATAGTCTCCTCCCCCCACAACCCTCACCCAAGCAAGCTGACCCAGCGCTCCAGGGCCAAAGTCAATGTCAGGACAAAGTTTGGGCTTCAGAGAAAAGGGATACGTGACCCTTTGTGGTCAAAAGTGCAGTAAATGAATATGGGTCATTCTTTTAGAAAGTCTTGGTTTGACACATTGTGATAAGTGCATTGATCTGAATGAAGGTCTGGATCAAAATTCACTTTATTCAGATTCTTGATTTTTTCCCATGGTAGAATGTAAGCTTCTTGAGGGCAGGGATTGGTTCACTTCTGTTCTGGTATCCCCTACTCCTAGTACCATCGTATAGCACATAGTAAACAGGGAAGGGAAAAGGAGAGGAATCTGCATTTCTATAGTACCTACAATGTGCCAGGCACTATTAAACCCTCTACAAATATTATCTCAGATGATCCACACAACAACCCCAGGAGGTAGGTGCTGTTATTACCCACATTTTACAGTAGAGGAGACTGCCGAGGGTCACACAGCTCATAAGTGTCTGAGGCTGGATTTGAACTCAGGTCTTCTTGACTCCAGGCCTGGCGCTCTATTCACTGCACCACCTAGGTGCCTAATAAATGCTTCTTTATTGATCGATTGACTGACTGATCCTGTGCTCAGTAGTCCTCTGTGTCCTGGATATCTTTGCCCTTAAACTTGAGCTTCTAGAAGCAATTGAACAGCAAGAGTAGGACAGGTTTTATTCTTGTTGTGTTTGTCTTGTTTTTTTAAGGCTGGGTCCCCCTATTCCACCCCAGTCAGAAGGGCATCAGTCGCTGTCCAGCTGACTCTACTGCTGATCAGCAGGAAGCTTTGACCTTCTTGGATTCTAGCCTGGGCAGTTTTCCCCCTCTGTGGGCAGCCATGTTCTCCCCTCCTTCTTCCTAGGGGCTACCACATTGGTTCCAGACTTAGTGTGGACACTGGATTGACTCTGGGTCTACTCTAGCTCAAAACTCCCAATCCCAAGTGATCCACCACCCCCTGGCAGCACAGATTGTAGGTGTGTGCCACCCAACATGTCTGGCTTGGGACAGCCTTTAAAGGGGAAGCATGTCCCTAGCCTCTGTTTAGCACTTTGATAATATTAGCTAACTAGTGCTGAAAAACTTATTAATGGGGCAAGAGCAGGAAGAAGGTTCCCAAGCTCATATGTAATAATCCATGTATAATATTGATATTAATAATTAATAAAAATTAAATAATAACCATCTATAATATCCAGAGTATCTAGGGAAAACTGTATACTTGTGGAAAGTGAGGGAGATAGAAAACCCTGATAGAGAGAGTCACTTAGTAGCCTTGGTGGGAATGGCTCATACCAGCAGAGGGTGACTTATATAGCACCTAGGAATAAGAAGGATAACTGGCAAAAGGTCTTGTCAGGAACTGACTTTGGAAATCTAAGGAGGAAGTAGGGAAATGGGGATGTGCAACACTGGACCCTCGCTGATATTTGATATAACACCTATTTTCTGTCAGTAAAAGAAAGGACCTGAGTTCAAATCCTAACTCAAATATTTACTCCCCCCCCCCCAATTTGAATGAATAATTTTACCTCCCTGGGCATGTTTATTTCCTCATATAAAAATAAAGAGGCTGGACTAGATCATTGGTGTCAAACTCAAAATGGAAACTGTGGGCTACATGTTGACCTAGAATACTACAAATTAACATTATCTATGTTGTATTGTATTTTTATTTATTTTGTTAAACATTTCCCATGGGCTCTTGGATGTGAGTTTGACACCTCTGGACTTTGAAGGGTCTTTCTAGTTCTAGAGCTTATGAATACTGAGCCATCTTTGGTGTTCTAAGAGAAACAAGTTGGGTAAGTAACAAATTTATCCCATAGGCACATTCCCTGGAATTCTAGGCATAGGCCTAAAGCAAGAGAAACATGACATTTTACAGTCATCTCTGCCACAAAGTTTACGTTAATTTTCATTCACTCTGCATTCACTCTTATTTTTTAAAAATTCCATAGAAACCCTTTTAAGTGCAAAGAACATGTCACAAAATTAAACAAATAATATCACATCTCCAACCAGGTTGGGAATGACTAGCCATATTCACTTACTTAATGGTATTAAACTTAAAATTTTGAGTTCATTTAAAGCTGTATTCTCTAAAGCATAGCACAGCATTAACAAAACCAAGAAATGTCACTTACTTGTAACCCCATGCAGCTATTCCTAATATGAGAGCCAGCACCAAAATGGTGCCAGTAATTATCCCTATTATGATATTTGTGCCAGCAACACCTGTAAAAAAAAATACAGTGAAGGTTATTCAATGTAATTTAAATATCTTAACTAGGAAGGAAGACTTCTGTCTTCCAAATGTTATTCTGAATAATTCCCAATGCACAAATATAGAGAAGACGCTAAGTCAGGGGTGGGGAACTTGCAGGCTTGAGGCCACATGTGGCCTTCTAAATCCCTGGGTGCAGCCTTTTGACTGAGTCCAGGTTTTATAGAACAAATCCTTTTATTCAGGACTTTTTTTCTGTGAAGTTTTGATTTAGTTAAGGGGCCACACTTGAGGATCTAGAGGGCCACATGTGGCCTCTGGGTCACAGGTTCCCCACCTCTAGTCTAGGTCTTGCATTGTGAATTATCCATCACAGTTCATTGTTATATATGGAGAAAGAATAAATCTAAGTGAGGAAACTGAGTTTTTTAATTTCTTGTGGATATTATATAACCAATGATATTATAATCAGCCAGAATCTACCTGGCTTTGAATCTTTTCTCTGATACCTATGTCACTTTGGAGAAATCTCTTAATCCCTCTGTACCTTGTTTTCCTCATCTGTGAAATATGAAGGTTGGATTAAATGAGCTAATTAAGGCTCCTTTCAGTTGTAAATCTTTGATCCTCTGTGTCAACCTTTGAAACACCTTTTCTTCGTTAATCCACATGAAAGAGCTCATGAAAAAATTGTTATTGTTGTTATTGTTCTCCTTCATTCTCAAAGAGGACCAATGATGTCAGGAGGGCGATGTCTTGACTTGCAAGTGAACTGGATTTAAGTGAGGCAGGGCTGTGCAAAGTCATCACCCTCACTCTCTCCTCCGGAGTCATGGAAGTCCACTGGCAAGACACAGGTCAAAACAACTAGCAATGTCCTGGATGCAGTGGACTTTTTAAGCTAAGGTCTTTCCCAGGTCACAGCTTGTCTGAGCATTGGCTCATTGGCCTATTCAATAATTAAAGGCTAGGTAAGAAATGAGGGAAAAGATGGCCTGGTTTGCTTTCACAAAAGAATCAGTCTGGGAGGGGAGGACCAAACATGGTCTTAGATATGGTCTAAGCTACTCCCTCACTCGCTGCTTGGTGGGACAGGACTAGCTGTACAGAGGGAGGTTGAAAAAAGAAATTCAGATTCTATGTGCCTAATGCCAATGTAGCAACTGCCTAAGCAAAGAGAGCTATTTGAAATCAAAACCAGGAAGAACGTTCCCTTTTCTAGTAATAATAAGCAGCATTTATGTCATACTTGAAGGTTTGCAAAGCATTTTACATCCCTTACCTCCTGTAAGCATCACAATAATCAAGCAAGATGGGTACTTCAGGTATCATTACCCCCATTTTACAGATGAGGAAACTGAGTCAGATGTAGGCTTTGAACCCATATCTCTCTCAACAAGTCCAGTCCTTTCCCCAATACACTGTATTGCTCTTTCTCTAAACTCTGAGCACATTTACCATCTTGCCTATTTATTTTTGTACCTAATTATAGATAATCTTAGATTGCTGCCTCTTAGAAACTGTAAATCTTTTCAGTGACAGTGACAGTCTAAGTGCAGGCTTGGGGGCAGAAACTACCCTTGTTAGATACATCCCACAGTACTTAGCAAAGTGCTCAGTACATGATAGGTAATCATAGAATTATACTGGGAAAGAGCGCTGGAGAAGAGGCCTGGTTTCTAGCCCTCGTTCTGCCACTTAATAGCTTTGTGACCTGGCATAAAACACTTCTCTCTGGGCCTCAGTTTAATAACTTCCAGGTTTCCTTATAGCACTATAATCTATTTAATTCTATAAACTTCAGTTGTTGAATTTTACTGTGGGTTCCATAATTCTGCTGTAAATAGCCTATGTTTTCATCCTGTGGCTTAGATACCCATAAACTATGAGTCTTAACCTGAGGGAGTAAGGATTGTATATGTATCCACAGGGCTTCACACATGGTAGGCACTCAAGGATTGCCTGTTGGTTTATTTATTTTGGTTTATTGGTTGAAAGAGAGGCTGTGCGGGGGATTAGAAGGTTCATGACTTTTCTCATTATTTGGAAGGCAAACAACTTTTTTGGTCCCTTGGGCATCATTTCCTACAGTGAAGTAGTCATGTACTAAAAGGCACCAACACATTTGGGAAGGGTCCATTCACTGTCAAGGAGGGTCTACAGGGTTTTGAATAATGTGAGCATTGCTTAGCTTCATTTAACTTCCTTCTCTTTCTTAACAGCCTAATATTAAGCCTTCTTCTGCTCCTCCTCAAACCCTATTCATGTCACAGTCAACAAGCATTTATACATAAAGCACCTACTATGTACCAGTCCCTGTACTAAGCTCATTTCCTCACAATCCGTCTTAGGTGAGATAGGAAAGCTATAAAATAAATGTTACAGTTCTTGTTAGAGAATCTAGGGGTGGATATGACACTTCCCCCCAAATATTCACAAAAATATTGTTTATTTTGGTGTATTGATCATTACTCTTTCACTTACTTTTTTCTATATTATCCTATGAGCTCTTTGAGAGCATGAACTGTTTTTTTTTCACCTTTTTTTTGTAACTCCAATGCTTGGCACATAGTAGGTACTTAATAAATGCTAGATAATTGACTGATTCTTCCAATAAAAGCCCTTCCTGGTAACAAATGTATATTTAGAAAGGATCAACAATAAAATATTTTTTAAAATTCACAGAAAGAAAAACCAAAAAGGACTGCAGAAATGGATACAGAGTAATTTTGTTAGTATCTTGTTAAACTTCTACACATATATGCTAGGTGGTTTGGTGGATAGAGTGCTGAGCCTAGAATCAGGAAGACTCATCTTCCCCAGTTCAAATCTAGCCTAGACACTTATTAGCTGTGTGACTCTGGACAAATCACTTAACCCTATTTGCCTCAGTTTCCTCATCTATAAAAAGAGCTGGAGAAGGAAATGGCAAACCACTCCAGTATCTTTGCCAAGAAAACCCCAAATGGGATCACAAACAGTTGGATATGACCCAAAAATGACTGAGCAACAAAAATACATGTGTGTGTGCATGTATACAGAAGTCCACATGTTCATAGGCTTTTTTCTTATTTTTTACATTTGAAAATATTTTGTTTATTGATGATTTTTAAATACTCAAAAATTTTAAATCAATCATGAACCTTCCATTTAAATTTGATGGTTGGAGAATATTAAGTTATTACAAAAAAGATTTATTTATCATAAAGAAATTTCAGGAGAGATGACTGATCCAAATTAATGACATTCTCATATCATTCAATGTTTGAACATTTCATTTTAAGAGCCAGGATTATCCCAAGTTAGTCTTATAGAAAAAAATTAATTCAATAAACCCTGAAAACGAGTTATCATTTGAGGACGGTTAATAGTTTTGCCAGGTATACCTCAGTTATATACAAATTGAAGTCACTATAAAAATAATAATTTAGTTGACAATGTTGAGGCAATATTTTTGTTCTCCTTCTTGAGGACTATAATTCACTGAGACTAAAGTATGTACTTACCATTGCCAGGCCCAGATAGATCAGATTTTGAGCCATCACTGTATGGTAAATAAGTATTACAGTCTGCACCTATCCAATGCTTGTTACAGACACATTTTATTTCATTACTGCAAACCTGAAAACCAAAATGTGAATTGAGAATAAAAATTATACATAAATAGATGATAATGCAATGTTATGAACAACAAAAGTTAACAATGATTATGCTCATTTTCCTTATGATATCTTTTCCTGATCCTTCATTTCATTCATTGTATCTCTAAAAAGTCTTCTCTCATTCCTCGATTGCAAGTCATTCTCACATCAACTTACAGAAAACAATGGGGCATAAAAAAAGCACAATGATTACCCCTAGAAGAAATGAAGCAAAATTATGAAATGACAATCTTGCTTTCAGCTACAGTACAAGAGGAAGAGAATGAGGAAATCTACATGGAAATTCAGACAGTTCTATAGTATCCATGTAAATCTTCCATTAACCCATAGAGGACGGTCCTTGAAAGGATAAGGAAGTCTTGGGTTCTAGACTCAGGAGAGCTAAGATATGGCCAGACAATCAATGTAGAAAGAAGACAGGTCTACTCAGGCTGGCGCTATAGATTATTGGGTGGGGAGGGAAGGTCACGCTTGTGGCTCACACATGTATCTGAAGGTTTCTGGCACAAGAGCAAAACTCAACCTTTTCTCTTCAATCCTAACACTAGATAGAAACAAGTAAAATAGAAAGAGAACTGACTGTGGAAGCAGAGGACCTGAATTCGAATCCTCCCTGATGACAAGTTGTGTGAGTTGAAGAAAGTCACTAATCTATGAAATGAAGAGGTTGGACCAGATGTTCCTTTTAGCTCTAAATCTATGATCAAGTAAAGCCTCTATCGCTTCCCTCTTCCGCATCCAAGAGACAAGAGAACCAAGAACACACAAAGCATCTGAAAATAAAATTAATATTTACCATACCATCAATATCTAAGGAACCCCAAATGGAAAATTTAGAATTTAAAAGGAAACAAACCCATCTCATTTATCCACCCAGAGTAGGCAGAATCCCTCCCTAAGGTTTCAGCACACCACACCTGTGCACTGAGTAGGGAGTAGTGAAATAAGAGATCTGGATGGATAAGTTTTAATTTGTTGTTGTTCAATCATTTCAGTTATGTCTGACTGTTTGTGACCCCATTTGGGGTTCTATTGGCAAAGATACTGGAGTGGTTTGCCATTTCTTTCTCTAGTTTGTTTTACAGATGAGGAAATTGAGGTAAACAGGGTTAAGTGACTTGCCCAGGGTCATATAGCTAGTAGGTGTTTGAAGCTGGGTTTGAATTCAGGTCTTCCTGATTCCAGCCCCAGTGCTTTATCCACTGTACCACCTCACTAAAGTTTTAATATTTTGATGCAAACCGCCAACACTTCCCACTCACCCAGATTTAAGCTTAAGCATCAACTCTGTCTCAACCCAAATTATAAAGTAGTTGGGGAGTACCTATGGCTTTAGATCACCTGTGTCCTTCATTAACATGGATAACTATCTTGGAATCAGGACAGAATAGACCTGAACAATTCTTACTCTCTCTTCCATCTCCTCACCTTCTTAATGTTATTTTCCCCCAAAGAGCTCTGTAGGAAAGATGGGAAGAAGGGCAGCTAGGTGACGTAGTAGATAGAGCACCAGTCCTGAAGACAGGAAGACCTAAGTTCAAATCCAGCCTCAGACCAAACACTTGACACTTACTAGCTGTGTGACCCCAGGCAAGTCACTTAACCCCAATTGCCTCTAAAAAAAAAAAGGAAAGATGGGAAGACATGGAGCTCTGCTCTCATAGGGGTGAATCAGCGAGGCCTTTTCCCGTGCTGGTGGCTCATAGTAACTGTGAGAGTTACAGCTAATTTCTGGTACTCTCCTTTGGAAGGGGCAATGGTTCCCAAGACAATAAATCACTAAGACACTTCTCTGCGCATCTCTCATAAACACACATAGAAATGTATGAAACTGGAATAAATATGTAGTTTGCTTATTCCAGAACAATTATCCAGGAAACTATAATGATTAATTGATCAAGCAAAAACCCATCTTCACTGCACCTGAATCTCAGTTACATGGCTGTAAGAATAAAAATGAACCTTATCAAAGGCTTCCTTCCTTTCTATTCATTATTAAAAAATATTTGCCCAAACCGTTATGTGCTTATCTTTTTCAATCCCATTTTAGTTTGTGAAATTTTACATCTCCTACTTCATTTAAAAAAGAAAAAAATCCAAAGTTAAAGCAAATCAGATTTCATTAACATAAATGAGAGAGGAGAATCAGAAATTATAATTAGATACAATGATTTTAACTTCTTTTCCCTTCTCATTTCAAGCAACAGTAGTAGTTATAGTTGTTGCTTTTCAGTCATGTCCAGCTCTTCATGACCTCACTTGGGGTTTTCTTGGCAAAGATGCTGGAATGGTTTGCCATTTCCTTCTCCTGCTCATTTTACAGATGAGGAAACTGAGGCAAACAGGGTAAAGGGACTTGCCCAAGGTCACATAGATAGTAAGTGCCTGAGACCAGATTTGAACTCAGGAAGATGAGTCTTCCTGACTCCAGGCCTGGCACTCTCTCCATCAAACCACCTAGCTGCCCAATAGTTATGGTAGAAGGACACAATGTGGATTTCATATTCATATGCTACTTAGTAATATTTTCAACATCTAGTTTATTTCATAGAATCAGGAAAAGTAACTGGTTTAGAACTAGGCATATTTCATAAAATTTGAGTTCAAAGGAACTTAAAGATAATCTAGCTCAATTCTATTGTTTTATAGATTAATAAACTGAGTCCTGAGAGTTTAAGTAACCTTGCTCAAGTTACTTACATACATTTCACTGATAAAAATTAAATACATAATTCACATTAAGATAGAGTAAAGAATATACAAACATACCCCATTTCCTGAACAAATGGCATTTCCTTTTTTACTCAAGCAGGTACTGAAGTTGAAAGAGGCAGTAGGGAGACACCTCCGTTCTAGGCACATCATTTCGGGGCCACATGGTGTCCCATCTTCAACATAACCAAGGTCAATCTCTTCTTCAAGCTTAACATGACCACCACTACAGTAAGTAAGCAATATAAAAAAATTTAGTTATGTTATGGAGCAGATTGTGTGTGTGTGTTTTTTATTCATTCCTTAATTGATTTTGAAACCACCTTTATAAACTAAATGATGACTAATATCACTGCATATGTATTCTGTTTATCCTTAGAAAGGCAGTAGAACGAAGAATGATGGTACATCTTCTTACATGTAAAAGCATGGCAGTAACTTCATCTTTAAACTGATTGGTAGGGTAATCAACAATGACAGTGCATTCTAATATGCAGACACAATTGACATAAGAACTGAAATAAAATTTCTAGTTAATTTTTGTCACCTAAGGCCAAGTCAATCATAATTACTGCTCAACACCAAATTCTAATCTTATAATCAAGGGGGTTAGCTAAGGTCCATTTCAGTTCTAATATGAGGATGAAAGTTTTTTTTAATTACCTTTTTCAAAGAATTTCTGCATTCACAATTTTATATTCTATAATGGGGCAATTACAGAAATATATAATTATAAAAATGTTATTCAATGTAATTCCATACTTAGGGGGTCAAAGATTTAATCAGTATGAGTACTTCCTTCATGATCACAGATTCTAACCACGACTTAGTAGATGAGGAAATCTTAACCTGGGGTTCTTAAATTCGTTTTCTCAATATTCTGACAACTGTATTTTAATAGAATTGGTTTTCTTCGTAATCCTTATGTATGTCATCTTACTCATTTAAAAACATTGTTCTCAGAAGAGGTCCATAGGTTTCACCAGATTGCCAAAGGGGTCCATGATGCAAACAAGATTGAGAACCTCAGTAGTAAATCATCTTTGAGAGTTCCTGTGGCAAAAACCATCATGTTGCAGTCAACCTGTTGATGAAGCTTTCCAAATTTAGCTAGCCTCATCCTTGATTACAATCCATTGGTGGGTCACGTTATAACCCTTCCAACAACAAAGTAGGATGTGCTTATCTTAGCCCTCTGTTTAGCACAGCCTCCAAGGAACCAAGGTCTCTTCTCCACTCCAATAAGACATCAGAGTAAGACATGAGTGGGAAGCTATTTAATACAGCCACCATTTTGTTAATTCAGAAATCAAAAAATGATGATAATTGTTTCATAGATTTATTAGTTCAAAACTCCCCATTCATCATCCATGAAAAGATGAACAAGAAGAAGCAATCTCTCTAGCTGATAAACTTGAAGCTTGAAAGACGCAAGAGGTGAAAAGAAATGGAAACATATATTTTAATCATTGTATTGGGCCTGAGAAGATGAACTGTTATTCTTGTATGTCAGCCTAATGCTGGCTCACATGCTGACAACCACTTCATATTTCACAAGGGTTCAATGCAGGATTCTAGTTCCAAAAGTTGTTGTCCAAATCCAGACATAATGGCAGGGAAAGCAGCATGAAATAGGATTTGGTATCAATGGACCTGAATTCAAATCCCAATTTTGTCCCCCTCTGGGCCTCATTTTCTCCGTTTGTTTAAATGAGGATGTTGGACTAGATGACCTCAAAGGTCTCCTCTCACTCTAAATCTATCATCTTATGATTCTTTTCTTTTTTCATAGAATCATATAGAGAGAGAGCTGGAAAAGGCAACAGAAGCCATTTAGTCCACTCTCTTCATATATTGGGGAAACTTAGGCCCAGGAAGTTTAAATGATTTTCCCAAGGTCACACAGGTAGTATCAGAGGCAAGATTTGAATTCAGGTCTTCTGACTCCAGAAAGTGGTTGTTGGTTTGTTTTTTGTTTTTTTCCTACTGTGACTCAACCAATGCCTTTTCTCCTACTCTATTTGGATTTGAGCAATGGCCCCTTGAACAAGGTTTTTGTGGTTTTATTTTTAATAAATAATTCATTTTCTCCACTAAAGCCCAATTCCATTGTCTCATCATGCAATGGAGGTGACCCATGTTAAAGGTCATCGCAGCTGAGCACAAGTTCTGGCAGATGCTACCACCCCGGTAATCACAGAATTGGAGAGCTGACCATCTTATCCAACCCACAGAAAAAGGGAATTCTGACTATAACATGCCCAACAACTGACTCTCCAGTTTCTGCTCAAAGATTTTCAAGGAGGAGGAATCCAGCTTGGAAACCTTCAAGAATGTTTTAAGTTCAAGGCTACCAATGAGCTGTCATCTGAGGACTGGCCTGAGTGGGCAGCGTCATTACCCTCGGGGAGGCTATCAGCTGATGAAGGTTTTGGCCATAGTAATTTATGAACTCACCTCCTCAGTCATGGAAGGGTTGTGATCTGCACTGGCTGAAGAGGTACCCACACTAATCAAATAGCCAATCATTTAAATTATTGAAGACAGTGGTGATTCCAAGGTTCTGGGTGGGAGGGAAGATGTATCACATGCTTTGCTTTACAATAAGGTGGTAATCGTTGTACTTACCTGCAGTTTAATGTCCTTCCCTGCTGCACAACTAGAGAGGATGTGATTTCCCCATCTAGCTCGCCAAGCCTTGGAATGTTACCGATGTTGGTACATAGGAGGTAACCACAAAGTACATCCCTAAATCAACAGAGGGCACAAATTGCTTACTTCATATACAAAGTGGTTGGAAAGGTTATTCCTACCTGAGAAGCATGGATATAATTATTAAAAGGGATGGCTGATCACTTACACGGAGCATTCCACTAAAGAGGAAAGATGTTATGATACTGTAGTGCTTGCTTTTGTTTAACTATGGAATTCATTCAAATACTAACAAAATAAACCAGGCCAGAATAACTCTATTTCTTTTAACAAAAGGCAGTGTCGTATACTGGATATGGCCTCAGTGACAAGAAGACCTGGGTTCAAATACTGCCCTGCCACATACTGGCCATGTGACCCAGGACCATCGCTTACCTCTGAGTGTTCTAGGCCAGAGGTCAAACACAACTAGCAAGCTTTCAAGTCGTTGCCCTATGCACTTACTTCACTGAACTGTTCAATCAAATTAAGTATGACCAAATTAAGTTATCCTTTACATAATACTGCTTAGCCACAAAATTTCCATCCACGTGAACTTTTCAATGTAACCAGTTCCTTTTTAGCAAAGACCTTAGGAAGAGTCCTCTTTCACAATGAACAATTTTATGTTACCTTCCAATCTGAGTATTAAAGAGCTTTGTTTGTTGTTCAGTCTTTTTCAGTCATGTCCGACTCTTTTTGACCCCATCTGGAGTTTTCTTGGCAAAGATACTAGATACCAGCTCATTTTTTTTTTTTTTTTGGCTAGGCAATGGGGTTAAGTGACTTGCCCAGGGTCACACAGCTAGTAAGTGTCATGTGTCTGAGGCCACATTTGAACTCAGGTCCTCCTGAATCCAGGGCCAATGCTCTATTCACTGTGCCACCTAGCTGCCCCTCTAGCTCATTTTACAGATGAGAAAACTGAGGTAAACAGGGGTAAGTGACTTGTCCAGGGTCACACAGGTAGTAAGTATCTGAGGCTGGATTTGAACTCAGGTCTTTCTGACTCCAGGCCCAGCACTCTATCTACTACACCACTTAGCTGTCCCCTATTTTAAACAGCAGCTTATACATAATTTTCTTTTATTCACTCCCACATAACTATGCTGTTACTTATTTAGTTTCCTTTACTAATTACTTCTGACTTTCTGTTTTCATTATAACATTGTATTCTTATATTTAAAAAAGAAAACTTTCACTGTTCTGCTCTGTTGGAAATACCGTCTAAAATGTTCTGTATGCTTAATGAATTTTCAGTTTTAATCCTGTTGATAACATAGCAATGACAGATTTTGACATTAATAATTATTCAGAAGATTGGTGAATAAAACAGCAAGCTTGAATGTGAAAAAATCAGACTTCATTATATGGAATAAAATACGAAGACAGATACCATCAAGCAAAAAAAAATCCTAAAAACTCTATTTACTCAGCCTTATTTTCTTTCTATTTATGCAAAACATAGAGGTCCCTTTGACACTGATGGAAATCTTTAACCTTCAACCCTCCACAAAAAATTATCCCTTCATTCAATAAATATCAAATATCTTTTATAGTCAAGGGATTGTGTCTGATGTTAAATTAAATTTTATTTTATGTCCATGGAGATCTGACATTTTTCTCTTCTTTCCCCACTCCCACTCACGCTGAGAAGGCAAGAAAAACAAATCCCCTGTTACAAACTTTATAGTCAAGGAAAATATTTCCATTGACTTTGACCAAACAAAAACAAAAACATCTCAATCCGTATTCTGAATTCATCATCTCTCTATCTGGAGGTGGGTAGCATATTTCATCATGAGTTCCCTGGGCTTGCTCATTATATTGATAGGGTTCCTAAATCTTTCAAAGTTATTTGTCTTCACAATATAGTAGTCATTGTATAAATTGTTCTCCTGGTTTCACTCACTTCACTCTGCATTAGTTCATACACCTTCCCAGATTTCACCAATAACACCCCCTCACCATTTCTTACAATATTCCATCACAGTCATATACTATGACTTTTCAGCCTTTTCCCAATTGATGGGCATCCTCCCAGCTTCCAATTCCTTGCCACCGCAAAGAGCTGATACAATGCATTATTAATGGACTAGAGAGAGTGCCTACCTTTAAGTAATTTAGAGCCTACAAGAAAGGGAGATTAGACATATGTATATACAACTATAACATAAGGTTTTTGTTATTGTTGTTCGTTGTTTCAATTGCGTCTGACTCTTCCTGAACCCATTTAGGATTTTCTTGGCAAAGATACTGGAGTGGTTTGCCATTTCCTTCTCCAACTCATTTTACAGATGAGGAAACTGAGGCAAGCAGGGTTAAGTGACTTGCCCAGGATCACACAGCTAGTAAGTGTCTGAGGCAGGATTTGAACTCAGGTCTTCCTGACTCCAGGCTCTCTCCGCTGTAGCACAAGGTAATATGTGGCAGTTACCAAAAGAGGTATAGGGAGTATCTCAGAACAGTGGGAAATTACTTTTGACTAGAACAGTCTTGGAAGGCTTCACAGAGAAGGTAGAATTTGAGTTGAGCCTTGATGGATGAGAAGGATTTTAATAAGTAGATGGAAGAGGGGATAAGAGAGAAGAAAATTGCACACATGCTCTCCTCATGTTCTCCAGAGATGCTTGAAGCATGTTCAGAAATACAAGAAATCCAGTTCATATGGAGTCTAGCTGAGTGGAGGAAGCCTAAAGATTATGGAAGATGCCAGATGCAGACATTTGCTCTCTATTTGGTAAGCAATGGGGACCTAATGAGGCTTTCAGACAGGAGAACAACACAATTCAAGTAGTGATTTAGGCAGAGTAAATCATATAAAGTATAAACTGGTGAAGTCAAATTCAAATAGGGAGCCCCAAGACTGCATATTGACTTAGAAAAGCACAAATCAGCATTATCTACGTCATATTGTATTTTTACTTATTTTGTTAAACATTTCCCAGTTACATTTTAATCTCATTCTGATCACACTTGGAAGTTTTTGCAGGCCATGCGTATGACACCTCTAGTATACTGAATAATTATTTTTTGGTAGGGGGAGAAAGTACAAGGAGGTTAATTATGAGCCTTATGCAATAACCCAAACAAGACAAGATAAAAGCCTGAACTAGGATAGAGGCAGGATCAATAGAAAGGAAAGGTCTCTCCTCAAGAACATACAGAACAGGCCCTTTTAGTAAGATGAGTAAAGGAAGAGTCAGCTTCAACCTCAGTTTCCCTTCATGCCATAACAGCAAGAAATCTGCCAAAGAAAGCGAACAAATAATAATAACAAAAAGAAGGGAATGGAAGGGACAAATAAGGAAAATCTAAAAAAAAAAGCCAGGAGACAGAAGAACTGGGTAAACAACAAAGAGGCCTGAATAAATACATAATAAAGTCTACACATATAGTAAAGTGAGTAGAAATCTCTGGAAGAAAGAAAGAATTCTGAAACAACAACTATACTTTTAGAAATGCAAATAGAATAATCACAAGAATCTGAAGTATTATTTTCCAGGTTTTTTGTGTTCAATTGAGGGGTGAAAGTGCAGATTATAAATGTATATAAAAGAAAAAATTTATTTTAAATTGCAAGAACCCTTAAAGTAGAATGGAAGCATAATACAATAATTAAAGGAAAAGATAAGGAGAAATATTAGAGCTCTTAAAATTTGAAAAATCAGAACTGACAGTTTAGAGCAGAAGGCAAAAGATATTAATAAAGCAGTATTCTGTAAAAATGGCATCAAGATAACAAAAATAAAGAGATGAAGTAATAGATAGCTAAGCAAAATCAGAACACATGAAGCCTCTATAAATTATAGCAATGGAAGAAGTAGAAGACAAATCTGAGAGAAAATTGAGAATTGTTGGTTGCCCAGAATCAAAGAGCATAAATGTAATTTTCAGGAAATCATATACCAGATCGCCTACAAGTATTAGAAACAGAAGGCAAAATTCAGGTCAAGAGAATCAATAGGACCTTATTAGAGAGGAATATCAATTTTAATTTACATAAAAATGTAGTTTCCAAAAATCTAGATTCATTTTTAAGTATGCAAGAAATACCAATTTACATATCAAGAACAGTAGTTCAAATTATGCAGGACTACTCACTATTAACAAAAAATGAAAGAAAAAGCTAGAAATATGATATAATTAACATAAAAAGAAATCAGTCTGCATTCTAAAATAACATATCCTACAAAGCTGAGTATATTTCTACATGAAAGAAAATGGACCTTTAATAGCAGAACATGTTTTCAAATGTTCCTTCAAAGAAAATCAGAGATTAACAGGGTCTTTGAAATGCCAAATTCAATGAACAAAAGAAACATGAAATAACAATGGAAATGAAGATTTCACAGAATCATGAAAAGACTTATGTGATGCAGAAGGAAGGAAATAATGCCAAAGGAAAATGACACCCAATGACTATAAGAAAGTAACTGAAAATGAAAGTTAGCCAAATTCAAAATAAAGACAATGGATTTTGTTGCTAAGTAGTTAAAGTTCACTTGTACTTCCTTTATGTTAATGATCAGTAAACCATAAAAATAGACAGTGAAATGCACCATTAGTTTCAATGATTCTATTAGGCAGTTTTACTCAACTGTATTTGGGGAATGTACTTTGTCAGGAGTATGAGTGTTACTGAATGTCAAAACAAAATGTTTCAGTAAAAACATTTTTAAGAAATAGAGAAAAGAAAAATGATAGGAAGGGACAGATATGAAAAAAATTAATAAGGAAGAGTCAACAGAACTCTGTTGAGGAAGGAAAAAAAGAGAAAAGAGTTAAAGATGATTCTGAGTAATTGGGAATATGAAGGAGTTAATTATGAGTAGGATGGTGATGAGTTCAGTCAAAGTGTGAGACATGTTGAGTTTTCAGGATATTCAAGGGAGAATTCCCAGCAGATCGCTGAAATATGAGACTAGAATCTAGGAGAGAGGTTAAGACTGAAATTATATGGCCAAAGACACAAGATCTGAGCATATACTGTTGTTTTAAAGGAGTTGTGAAAATTTCTTCTATTCCCTCCCTAACTCATCTTATTCGGAGAAAGGCAGTTAGTTAATACAGTGAACAGACCACTAGACCTGAAGACAGGAAGACCTGAGCTCTAATCCCCGCTCAGATGCTTTCCATCTGTATGACCCTAAACAAATCATTTAACTTCTGTCAACTTCAGTTTCCTCATCTGCAAAATGGGGATAATAATGGCACCTACTTCCTGCGATTGTTGTGAGGATAAAAGGAGATATTTGTAAGATGTTTTGTGAACTTTCTTTTTTTTTGGCTAGGCAATGGGGTTAAGTGACTTACCTGGGGTCAAACAGCTAGTAAGGGTTATGTATCTGAGGTCAGATTTGAACTCAGGTCCTCCTGAATCCAGGGCCAGTGCTCTATCCACTGCGCCACCTAGCTGCCCCTTTTGTGAACTTTAAAGTGTTATATAAAACCTAGTGATTATTATGCTAGTTATGATGACTGCATTCTAAAGATTGATGGCTGATTATCTTGGAAATGGGGCAGACTAGATGTGAAAGAGAAAAAAGAAAATAATAAATGAATTATAGCTACAGTCAAGAAATAAAAGGCAGCAAGACCCAGGATAAACTGAAGAGGGATCAAGGTTATGCTGATGCATATAAATTACTGAATAATGTAAACAACAACTAAAGTAGGAGGGGAGGAAGGGAATAAGTATTTATTAAGCACTTACTATGTGTCAGGCTCTGTGCTAAGCACTTTACAAATATCATATCATTTGATCCTCACAACAACCCTGTGAGATAGGTGCCATTATTAGCCCCATTTTACAATTGGGGAAACTAAGGCAAACAGAGGTTAAGTGACTTTCCCAGAGTCACACAGCTAACAAATATCTGAGGCTAGATTTGAACTCAGGTCTTGTGATTCCAAGCCATCACTCTATCCAGGGCGTCACCTAGCTACTTCCACCTGGTGCTGATAACTGAGGGACATTTTAGTAGGGCAGGAGCCTCATCAATGAGTATCATGGGCAAGGGAGGAGAGTGGAATATCGTTTAATGAATACAATCTCCTGTGTTTAGATGCTAAGAGGGGACTCAAGCTATGCATGCACAAGCCCATTCCCTATATAGGAATGCTCAATACTCAAATAAATTTAGATTTCCTCTATATTACTCTCTGTGGTTCCAGGGAAAGTCCAGAAGCCAAAAAAAAAAAAAAAAAAAAGTGAAGTAGCAAGATTCTGTTCCTCCAAAGTATAAAGCTAGAAACTGGGTAATAAATTCCCAAACTACTTCCCCAACTTACTGTTTGTTGCACTGAATCCAAGTGTCTTTGTCTCTCCCACAATTACCTTTCTCGGTCCCTTCAATATTCAGTTTTTCATAGCAGTATTTATCAGAAGCAGTCACTTCTGAAAGAGAGAAGTGGTCTTTTTTAGCAAACCAGGGCAGGTACAAATTTCTCAAGCTCTGGCACAAAAAGAAATGGGGAGCTACAGAATTAGACCAATTGTTAGGCCACTCATTCAAAAGGTTCTTGACAAACATAGCACGACTTTTTAACTTGGACATCACTTGCGGCTAATGTATGTTTTCAAGTGAAGATTATGGTTCATGGATCTCAGTTTGAAATTTGGCAAAGTAAAATAAACACAGACCTAAGACAGATGTCTTGCCTGGCAAAGATCCCAAAGTGAATTTCATGTTTTGGGTCTTTTTTTTTTTAATTAAATCCTCAAACTCTGAAGAAAGTAATGATTCTAACTAAGTAGTAGGTCCCAGAGAAGTTGAGAGAAAGGAAGTCAGTCATGATGAAAAAATGTTTGGAAGATGTACCCACAAAATTTGAATCTTTATAACTTCAAATTTGCTAAGGACAAAAAATTATCTCAGAATGCGGGAAATAAACCTTTCTGAAACATGAAAATTAAATGTCTCAATCAACTACAAAATAATTTTGAACACTTATAAGTCTAGCAAAACCTTCATCCATTGGTCAAGGGAACACTCTCAACACATTTGCTAGGTTTTAAAAATATTCCAAACTCCTGTGTGAAATGGATTCTTAGAATGCCAAGAGGGAAGGTAATTCCTAGAATCAATGTTTTGGGAGTGATTTCAGAGGGCTTCTGGTGCACTAGCATGTGGCACCCCTCAGAAGTTCAGGCAGAGGCCAGGTGACCACACCTCCCATGTCCAGAACCTTCCTACTTCACGACAGCCTACTCTATTCTCAGACAGCTCCAATTACTGCGAAATTCACCTTCCCCTCTTATTGAAATTTACACCTTCCATCACAGTTTTTACCCGCTGGTCCTAGTTCTTTCCTGTGGAATACCACAAAATGCTTAGTCCTTCCTTCCACAAACCTGAACATAGCAGCCAAATCCCTGGTAAATCTCTCGTATCCAGGCTGAAGGTGGTTCCTAGTTCCTTCAGTCACAGATGATGTGATTTGGAGCCTTCTCACCTCTTCCATCAATAGGGCCATAACTAGAAATACTTTATAAACTGCTTTCCTCCAACAACTCCATGAGGAGGCTAGTGCATGTACAGTTCTACTATCCCTATTTTACAGATGAGGAAACTGAGGCTCAAAGTGACTTGCTTCCCATAATCCAGCTGGAAAAGGTTAGAGCCAGAATTTGAACCTTCTTCCCCCCCTCAATTCCACATCTTTCCACCGCATCATGCTTCCTCCATTAGCACCACCACTACCATCACCAGCACCACCACCACCATCATCATCATCATCATCATCGTCACTGGCATTCATATAGCCTTTTAAGGTTTGCAAAGCACTTTATGTATGTATCTTACTTGATCCCTACAATGATCCTATGAGATAGTCATCATTATTATCCCCATTTTACATATGGGGAAACTGAGGTTGAGAAAACTTAAAAGACTTGTCAAGGGTCATGTAGCCAATATATCTGAACTCAAAAAGGCCTTGAACTTAGGTCTTCTTGATGCCAAGTCCAGCAGTGTATTTACTGTGTCATCAAGTTACCAGGCTTTCCTCTTACCCCTACTACTAAAATCTGTTAAGAACCTAGTAAAATGTAAGATATTTATTAATCTTGCCCCTAGTGGGGATGGAATACTGTGACATTACTGTCAATTCAAGGGATATAGGATGACAAGCACGATACTTAAGCTGATTTCCTTCTGGGTTCTTTGCCTATTGTTAAGGTTGGTTTTTGTTCAGTTGTTTTCAGTCATGTCTGACTCTTCATGACCCCATTTGTGGTTTTCGTGGCAAAGATACTGAAGTGGTTTCCCATTTCTTTCTCGCTTCTTTTACAGATGAGGAAATTGAGGCAAACAGCTTTTTAAGTGACTTGCCCAAGGTCACACATCTAGTGTCTGAGGCCAGATTTGAACTCATGAAGATGCAACTTCCTGACTCCAGGCCCAGCACTCTATCCACTGTACCATCTAGCTAGTAGGGTTAAGCTGCCATCAAGTGAGACACAGCTAGAACCTCTTCTAAAACAGAGCATTTAAAATAACATAAATAGATCTTAAGATTTTTTCATTTTGTGGTCTCAGCATAAGAGACACATTTTCACTTCTGAAAACCTCACATACCTGGGAGTGAAATGCACGTGTCTGCAAGGAAAGCACTATGTAAACCTAATAGGTAAGGTATGATAATCATGGCGGCAGAGGAAGTCAACCAAGACGGTGAAGGGCTAATAAATCTCTCTCTCTCTCTCTCTCTGCCTCCCTCCCTCCTTCTCTCTCTCTCTCTCTGCTTCCTCTCTCTCCCTCCTCTCTCTCTCTCTCTCTCTCTCACACACACACACACACACACACACACACACATACAGAGAAGACACACACACACATACACACACATGTCTAGCCTGGAGAAGAAATAGCTGAAGAGCTTTCTTCAATTATTTGAAAAGCTGTCATATGAAGGACAAATGGCCATTGAAGGTAGAGCTGGAAACGACCTTCTCGACCATCTAGCTCAACTTCCTCACTCTACAAATGAAGAAACAAAGGCCCAGGGAATGGGGTGGGGATGACCAGCCTAAGGTCACATAAGGCTTAAGTGGCCAATCCAGGCTATGAATCCACGTCCTTCGACTCCAGTTTCAACATTTCTTATGCTATGCCACACTCCTTATCAACCCAAGTCTTAGAGAAGCTAAATGGCGTGCAAATGGTCACACTGTGAGCGCAAAGTTCTCTAAAATGACGCCAGGAGAGCACCAGTTTGGGCAAGTCCTGACAAGCCAGAAATGCGTTGGGTACAGGTCAGGTAACAGACTGGTTTTCACCATGAGTCCCACATAGCTAAGTGCAAGAAGGTTCCTCTCCAGAGGGTTAGTGATTTGGGGATGATCATTTCTGGCCACAGCCAACTGATGGAGACTGTCTCTGAAGGTGTGGAGGGTTGGCCTTGACAACAAGGCAGGAAATACTTGCACTATGAACTCATTGCTTTTTTTTTTGCAATGTAAGTCTGGGAGAGCAAGCTAATACATGAAAGGAAACAGACTTGTCAATGAAATGGATTCTGGGACAAGTGATGTGACAGGGACTCCTCTCATGGCAACCTCCAGTCATGGCCTTGAGATCCACAGGGTCTTCTGCAGGGGTACAGAGGGAATGTGCCCATTTAGCCTGTGTGTCTCGTGCCCATGAGAACCCCATGGATCAGAAATCACATTTACTTACTTTGCCCCCAGATGTACTTGCACTGTCTGTCCCTGGTTTTACATCTTCCTCCAAAGCAAATGCCCTAAAACACATAACATGAAAATGATTGCACAGAAACTTCCCACACTTTTTGGATATAGGGAGTAATTTAACAACTAAAGAAAATATAATGGAGAAATGTTCTTTAAGAATATATAAGGGCTTTATATTCATCTTTAGGGCAGGGGGAGGGGAGGGAAGAAAAAAGGAAAAAAAGACATTTACATGTTAACTTTGTTATATATTTAAAAGGAACATTAAGTTATACATAATAAATTTGCAATTTCATGTGCAATCATCTTTTTAAAAATTATATGTGGAAATGCTTGTTTTATTCCACAAATTAAAAATAAAATAAATAAAATTTTAAAAAAGAAATATGTAAGGGTTTAATTCTCCCGAGTTGTTCGCAAAGTGTTTAAAATAATGCTGATATTTTGATTGATGTCAATATTTCCTTCATTCCAGGGCACCCAAATGAATCAAATATAAGAACTGAGTTGCCTACCTGAAAATTATCACATGAATATCCATCCATTTTATGGATATTTGGGGCACACTAGGAAAGAAGAAAACAACCATGTCAACACAATACAAGGCAAGAAATGATAATTTGGAAAACAACCTTGAAGCTGTTTTAATTTAAAGGACTAGGTGGTCAATATTACAGAACCCTTAAGTCAAAAACAGCCCAACTGACCCTGGGGTGTGACCCACCTGAGATTTTCAACAAAAAAAAAAAATGTTTTTACCTAGCTAGCTAGCACACATAAACTAGTAAAGTAGTAAGACCTAATCACCTATCCAATGCTACCACATTATAAGTGATAGAGCCAGGTGCCAAGCTAGAGGGCTTGAATCAATTAGTAATTGTAATTACAGATGCATTTAATTAATGACATATTTCTATGCACACAATCTGAAGATATATGGATTTCCAATTATGTGGCCACTACTGAAAAACCTGACTGCCCAAGATGTAAAAGGTGGTCAAAGTGGCCACTACCATCATGTACTTAAATTGGGAGTTCTTAACTTCTTGTGTGGTACAGACCCCAGTAGCAGTCTGGGGAAGCCCATGAACCCCTTTTCAGAAGAAAGTTTTTAAATACATGTAGTATTTGGTGTTACAATGCAAACCAAAGCTTAGCAAAAATAAATCTATAAATGTTTTCCTATCTAAGTTCACAGATGCCCTGAAATCTATCCATGTAAGCCATTGGGGATCCATGGACCTCAGGTTGAGGACTCCTGACTTCAATCCTTTAATGATATACAATAAAGGAAGAGAAGGTAATAGTAAAAAAAAATCTCTTTAAGTTCACTCACTTCATCAGATGACCCTGAAAACAAGGGCAAAGCACATTCAGACACACATCAGTGCAAACAGATAACTGGACAGATGGGCATGGAGGGCACTGACAGCTGGCAGCATCTAGCCACATGTGGAGCCCCATATGAGTGCCCCTGGCCATGGCAGGAACAGCATCTGCATCCAAACAACTGGCAAAAAGAAGAGAAGGATGGAGCAAGAGCTCCCTTTTCATAGTTGTGGGATTTATGCCAGTCCCTACATGCAAAATGCAATCAGGAGGCATCTATTTTAGACATTCGTTAGGGCAGCTTGTATGTTGTCCTGCCACTCTCTCCATCTATCTATTCATCATGCATCCATCCATCCATCCTTATATGTATATGTATACATGTGTATATATGTATGTTTACATATACACATAAATATTATTTAATTTTAATTATTCTTTCTATTACCACATAAATACAAAATACATAATGTAAAAATATCAAATGCACAATTATTATAAATATATGATTATATATATTTATAGAGAGGGAAAAAGAAATGGAGAGACACACAGAGAGAAGAGAAAGACAGAGGAGAGATGGAGAGAAAAAGAATATAAGTTTTGTCCTTGTTTTCAGGGTCATGGATATAACCAGTGGAACGTAATACCAACTGTTTTACTCTTACTTTCTAAGACTTACTGAGTGTATCATTAATGGATGTAGGTGACTTGAGAAGATCAAATCTCAGGTCAGATGCAACCATCTGCATGAGGTCTTTCCTGATCCTTGCTACTAATGCCTTTCCTGATCCCAACCAAAATTACTCTATTTATTTTGCATATACCTATATAAAAATATATGCTTTCTCCCCTGATAGAATATAAACTCCTTGAGGGTAGGAAGTATTTCTTTTTTGTCTTTGTATTCCCAGCACCAAGTACATAATAGTTATTTAATACATTCTTATTGATTGATTGACAAAAGGAAAATAATATTTCACACATTCATTTTTTTCAAGGTATAATGTATTATCTGAAGTAGAAAAATAGTAAATAAATGACCAAGACATTTTTACAAATACATATCTTAGAGAGAATATTAAATAGGCAAGACATTTAATCTTAATCTCATAGGATGTCATATCCCTTAATAATAAAATCCTTAAATGACTTAAGTAAATGTAGTCTTACCAAATTCCTCTTCCCCTAAAGCAAAGACACTGCTCATGTTGAAATTTATAGATTCACCCCCGTACATTATCACAGTCTGTCTTTAACTGAGTTATTTTAAATTCAAGACCAGTCAATAAATGGGCTTTATCAGAAGAAACCATGTTCATGTCAATGTCAGAGATAGGAACACCTCTTCAGACTAGAGATGCATTATGGGAGTATGTTTTCTGTAGACTTTCCACTTCAAAGGATTATAAGACAAAATATAGTCCTTCCTATTTTTTCCCCCATCAAGGATGTGTAAGTAAATCCATAGGTATACTTCTTTACTTTAAAAAGACGCTTTAAGGCATGAACACAGCCTTAGTTTTACAACCAAGTGGCAAGCAGCTTCTCCTCTTGCCTAGGCTGTTAGCTGAAACCAAGATTGCTGAGGAATGACTAAAAATAGATGGAATTAGATGTCACAGGAGAGAGGAACATGAGAGTGCCCGTGGTTTACATTTTTCTGGGGGATCAGTGCCATGAAGGGAACCATACAAGACCTTGTCCAGGTGCCACTCCTCCTCCTCCTCCTCCTCCTCCTCCTCCTTCTTCTTCTTCTCTCTCTGTCTCTGTCTGTCTGTCTCTCTCTCTTTTCCTTTTTTTTTTTCAGATTTGGAGAAAGCTGCTAATCAAGAAAATTACCTGGCTGGAGTTCCCTGTACATGTCTCCTGAATATCACAATCATTCACTGCCTCCCGGCATACAGTTCCCATAGGCTGAAACTAAAAGAAGAAAAGAAAAGGCTAAAAACCCCTGTAAACATTAAATGCAAATGCTGGTAGAATAGTTGAACAGCTTTATCTCAAATATCAAAATGGAGCTGCCTTAATTACTCTTTGGAGACAAGTGCTTTTTGCTATTATTATGAAGCTCTGTGAAAGTCAGAGAATTTTAGGGGCAAATACTGAATTTTCTTTTGCAGGCTCTATGAGGTATTTATGTATTTTTTAACTGTAACTAAGAGTTCTTCACCTATAACACAAGCATTTCAGGGGGATCTGATGGTCAAGGGTGGTTCAGAGTTTAACCATGGATATGGTTAGGACAGGTTACGAATTTATGGATAGAATGCTGAGCCTGGAGTCAGGAAGACCTAAGTTCAAATATGTCCTCAGACACTTACTAGTTACATGACCCTGGCAATCTCTGTTTGCCTCAATTTCCTCAGCTGTAAAATAGGGATAATAATAGCACCTACCTCTAAGGGCTATTGTGAAGACCAAATGAGATGGTTGTAAAATGCTCAGCACAATGCCTGACATATAGTAGGTGCTTAATAAATGCTTGTTCCCTTCTCTTCTAGGAACCTCATAAAGGAAATTAACAAACTGCAAAGCACACAGAGAAAAGTGAATCAATGCCTATCAACCAGTAGTGGTTGAAGTACCTGGGAAAATTTAGCCTAGAGAAGACTAATGGGGACAAGATAGCTGTCTTGAAGCATCTTATAGGGGTATCAAGTGGAAGAAGGATTCTATTTATTTTTCTTGGGCCAAGATCAGAACTAAACCCAATGGTTGGAAGCCATGGAGAAGTTAATTCCAGCTCAAAATATGGACTGTACAAAAGGCAGCCCTAGTAGGTAGTAAATTCTCAAGGTCTTCAAGTGGAGGCTGGATAATCAACCACTTGTTGGGGATGTTGGGGAGAGGGCTCCTGCTTTAATCATAGGTTGGATTTGGGTGGAAATTAAGTTTCTTCCAACTCTGAGATGCCATTCTATATAGAACCCAGGTTTGAGTCCTTGCTCTGGTACTTATTAGCCTTGTGACCCTGGGCAAAGCCACTGAGCCTCTTTGATTGTCAATTTCCTTACCTGAAAAATAGGGACAAATTAATGAGAGAGGAAAGAATAAGAATTTACATAGTGCCTACTATGTGCGAGGTACCATGCTAAGAGTTTTTTTTTTTTAACAAATATTCTCTCATTTGATCATCACAACAAGCCTGAGAGGCAGGTGCTATTTATTATCCCCATTTTACAGTTAAAGAAACTGAGGCAAACAGAGGTTAAGTGACTTACCTAACTAGTAAGTGTCTGAGGCTGGATCTGAGTTCAAGTTTGGTGCTCCATCCATTGCTCTAGCAGCTGCCTTCTCAGATATTACTTGTGAAGAAAGCGTTTTGTAAACCTAAAAGAACTATATAAACATGCCCTCCACACATTCACACAAGCTGTATTTCATGCCTGGAATATAAGCTGGCTCATCTCCTCTCACAGAATCTTCATCTCCTTTCAAGACTCATTCAGGTGAAGCCTACCCTGATCTACTTAGTTCTTAAGGCTCGCTCCTTCCTCATTACATATTTGTGGATATGATCATAGGCTCTAAATACAGAAAGGACCCCAGAGGCAATCTAGTTTAACCTCATCACTTTACAGTTGGAGAAACTGAGGCCCAGAGAGTTTAAGGGCCTTGCCCAAGGTCACAGTTAACCATCAAAGGTGGGATTTGAACACAGATCTTCTGACTTTAAAGCTAGTGTTTTTTTCCCCTCTGCCACCCTGTCTTCCACAGAGCCCTTGTTTGCTGACAGCAGAGCATGGGGCCAGCTGTGACTTTAATACATTTTCAAAGTCATTTTATAACAGGTTTTTATGGGAAAGTTACTGCTGCTCCCCTGTTTGGTGTATTTTTTTATGTTCTGCTGCTCTTGAGCCCTGAAATGATTTTATCACTACCACCACAATTCTGTAAATCAAAGAAGCAAATTTAAAAAACAACAATAAACAACTTGCTTTGTAGCTGGGATGATTAAAGCAAGGAAAATTGCCCTAACAGGGCCCGGATCATGCAGTGAAAAAGGAATCAAGTTGGAGATGGTCCCTGGCTTCCCGAGCCTCGCTCAGTGATGTATAGGCAAGTGTACACGGACTGCAATCTCCAGAAAATACACTGATGGCCATATTTCTGACTGGAATGTGTTTCTACCTCTTTCGAGTGGTGGAAAGAGGCCTTAGAAGGAGCCCAAATCCTAGGAAGGGACACATCTAGCCAAATCTCTCGGCTTTGTAGGGCATGTGAAGGGACCTGAGGATCTCTACTGTTTTATTGGCAGACAAAAAAACCCGACTATTTCCATTAGTCCTCAAAAGTTGCCTAAAGGAATGCCCCAAAGGTATGAATTCAAACCAGGTCAGACAGTTAATCAAAGGTTATTCATTAAATGATCCCAGGGGTAGACAGTACAGTACCAGGTTCTGAAGCAAGATAAAAAAGATGCAAAACCATGGACAGTTGACAATTTATGAAAAAAGAGCTGTCGGTCACAGGGCAAGCAAATTAACCTTAGCAGGAGGCTTCAGGGGGCAGAATGGTGATCGAGGAAGAGGTAAGGGCTCAGGTCGGGAAGGCTTGCCCTTCCATCCTACTGAGGGACACAACATGGACACAAACAAAAGCATGAGATGATTTGGCACTCAAAGAGGAGTGAGAGTCTTTTCCTAAGTTAGGCTGAGCAACGGTTCTCTTAGGATTTGGGCCCAGAACCTTAGATTTGTTAGAGATGAAGCCTTCAAGCCTACCTTTTCCTGATCAGCCTCGTTCACACTGACCTTGAACTTCTTAGAACTTCAAAGCATTATCTTTCACTTGGCATTTCATCATATAGCCTGGCTTACATTACTATTTAGCCATTTTATGTGTTTTTCTTGTCTCCCTAATGAAATTAAAAGCCCTCTAAGGGGCAGGGACCATTTCTCTAATCTCTTTTGGGTATTTTTATATTTTGCTGTCCTCAGACTTTGAAATGATTTTATTGCAAAAGGAACGATTACATAAATCAAAGAAGTGAATAAAATAAATCCCCAAAATGCACTTTGCAGACAGACAGATTATAGCAAAGAGGACAAAAATTACTGAGTCTAGAGCACTTGGTTCTCAGACTGACAGGATGAGAAAAATTTCACTGTGGAAAAAAAAAAAAGTAATGTGGTCTAGTGGGGAAAGCCCTGAATTTGGAATATGAAGAACTGGTCTGAAATGAGTTCTGCTTTCTGTGCCTTTTGGTTAGGTCATTTCCAAACTCTAGGCCTCAGTTTCCTCATTTACAAAATGAGATAGCTGGAGTTGGTGATCTCTAAAATCCAACTCTAAATTTTATATTCAATCACCTATGTCTTAAGCTTCTTTTTTTACCCTTCATTTCACCTAAAATGGGGCTAAGCCCACAGAAAGCTTTAAAAAAATGCCTTGTAGAAAGAGAATCACAGGTTCATAGATGTAGAATTAGAGGAGCCCTTTGAAGCCATCCCAGCCAAGACCCTTACTTCTCTCCTCTAATACCAGCATCACACTGGTGCTGGCCCTCCTCTCCTCACGTCTGGACAATTGTAATAGTTACAAGTGACAGTGCCTGTCTCATCTCTTCCCTACTCCATTCCATCCCTACATCCATTCCCTACTCCATCCTTTATTCAGATGCCAAAGTGATTTCCCTAAAGTGCAGGTCCAACCGTGCCACTCCCCTATTCAATAAACATCATTGGCTCCCTGTTACCTCTAGGATCAAATAAAAAATCCTCTGGCATTCAAAGTCCTCCATAAAGTAGCCCTTTTCTACCTTTCCAGTCTCCTTACACCTTACTCTCCACCATGTTACTCTTCAATTCAGTGACACTAGCCTCTTTGCTGTTCCATAAAGAAGACACTCCATCTCTTAGCTCTAGGCATTTCATGGACTGTCCTCCATGCCAGGAATGTTCTCCCTCCTCATCTCTGCCGTCTGGCTTCTCTGCTTCCCTGGCTTTCTTTAAAAATCCCATCTTCTACAGGAAGCCTTTTCCAACCCCTTTTAATTCTAGTGCTTTCTCTCTGCTCATTATTTCCTGGTTTTCTTGTATACAGCTTGTTTGTACATAGCTGTTTCCATGTCATCTTCCCCATTAGATTATGAGTTCCTGAGAACAGTGACTGTCTTTGCTTCTTTTTGTATCCCCAGTGCTTTAACACAGAGCCTGGTACATAGTAGGTGCTTAATGAATATTTATTAATGGACAGACTATTTTACAAATGAGGAAACGGGAGTGATGAGAAGTTAAATAACTTGATACGTTCATAAAGAGAAGTTAGCAATAGAGCTGGGATCTGGAAACAGGTTTCAAAGGAAAGGAAAGGAGGAGATAAAGAGGGAAGGAAGAAGGGTTAAATGAATACTGGTTTCCATTTATTAACAACAGGGAGACAAATAAGACCTAATTTCAAACAATATGCCCATGTTCCCCATTGAAGACTATTCCTATCTTCTTCATGATCTGGAGTGAATTAGTTACCTCTTGTCAATTGGCTAAGAGCTAGTATTCTCATACCTTGCACTTTTTACAGCAGAGACCATCACTGCATTGGGAGTCTTCTGTCAAGGTACACTTCTTACAGCAATCTGCTCCTTCCCGAGCACACTCCTAAGAAACATAAACATTTGTAAAGCACAATGCACGGCGTCAGACAGGCATCTTATTCCTCAATTAAATTTACTCTATTCCTCCCTCTCAAATTATCATCTTTCCATGAGAAATCCAAATAGTTTCTCTGTGCATATCTATGCTAAGCATTTTCTATGCTTCTTTGGGCTTCCACTATCCTAGTGTGAAAGGCAGGGGATTTCAAGGATGTCTCACCACCAAGTACTTACTGCAAGTGTGCCACAGTCACACTCTTCTCCAGTCTCAATGAAGCCATTGCCACACTCGGGAGGATCTAATAACTGCAGGAGGGAAACCCAAATATTAACAATCTCTCGTAGGGATCCAGGGGGAAATGAGATTCAATAATCATAAAGGTGAGTCTGGCACAGATGGAATCTGTCAATGACACATACATACTGTGATTTTTTTTTTCAAGTGGGAGTGCAATGGGAAAAGCACTTGATACAGAGTACAATGCCCTGGATTTGAATCCTATTGTCACTCCTTATTTTCCACGGATCTTAGGCATGTCCCTTCAATTCTTTTTTGTTTTGTTTTGTTTTTTTAGTTTTTAGGCAACTGGGGTTAAGTGGCTTGCCCAGCGTCACACTACTAGTAAGTGGCAAGTGTTTGATCTGGGCCAGATTTGAACTCAGGTCCTCCTGACTTCAGGGCCGGTGCTCTATCCACTGCACCACCTTGCTGCCCCGAATTTTTTTAAATCTTTTAATTTTTTTTTTTTATTTTTAGACAATTTGGGTTAAGTGACTAGCCCAGGGTCACACAGCTAGTAAGTGTCAAGTGTTTGGTCTGAGGTCAGATTTGAACTCAGGTCCTCCTGACTTCAGGGCCAGTACTCTATCCACTGCACCACCTAGCTGCCCCTCTTCAATTCTTAACACCTTAATTTTGTCCCCTATAAAATGAGGGAGCTAGATAAAATGATCTCCCAGGTCCTATATATACATATATATGTATGTATGTATATATTTTTTTTTTCAGGGAGGGCATTAGCAACAATTCGGGAGGAAACTTCAAATGGCCAGTGGCATTTGAACAGAATTTTGAAAGAAACAAAGAATTCCATGAGGGAGTTTTGAGTTTGTCAAGTTGACCCACTTAGGAGATCCACCTTTGATCTGAAATGGTAAATAAGGACAGGTTGTTTAATTTGTGAAAGGAGGTCTTGGAAATCAGGTCTGGTCAATCAATGAACAAATGTCTATTAAATGCCAGCATGGTGTAGTACCTAGCAAGCCAGGCTCAGGTGCAAAGGAACACCTGGCTTCAAAGTCCTGCTTCTGACCCAAGATGGCAGCCTGACCCTGGGCAAGCTACTCCACCTCTCAGAGGCCCAGGCAGCTGAGATACCAACATGCCTTGGTAGAGGAATTTCCTCACCAGGAAATGACATGTCTGGTCAATCAATCATCATGTATTATGCATCAATTCTTTGCACCACAGATAGAAATACCAAGAATGAAAGAAATCTTGCTTACATTCCATCCAGTTCATCATACCATTCTGCCACACTATCTCTGCCATTATTACTTTGTTATTAAAAATACTGGCTTACTTTTACTCTGTTGACCCTATTTTATTTTATTTTCTTTGACATGGAGACAGGAAGAAAAGTTGGTGAATAATAAATTTTTATAATTGAAAATAGAGTCTTTTTTTTTTAATTAACCAGGAATACAACACACACTAAAGAGACGACAGGAATTCAGATGTACACATATGGCCTTTCATAACTACCCAGATCTAAAAATCTTGTACCCACAAAGACCCCATTCCCAGTGCTGCCTTCACAAATGAAGTAATTGTCCCTTACTTTCCACTCCAGGTTGAAAGTGACCCTCATAAGCGAGGCAGCTTTGAAAACCTGGAATGGCAAGCAATTCCGATGAAAGATACATTTGTTCACTTGTTTTGGACTCGGGACAAAAGCTGTTTCAATAAAAAGCCCTCGGCCTCTTTTCAGTGTTAAAAGCAGCAGTGGTTTCCTTTCATTATATCCCCTCACCTCCCTGAGGTTTTTGAAAGGGTTGGCTGTTCTGTACTCCAGTGCGATACAATTTCTAAACTCCCTAGCAAGGCATATGGAATGAAAGAGGAAACGATTACTAGGCAGTTCCACATACCGCTGTGAGCTACAGAGGCCGAAAATCTAATTCACACAATTAGCCCGGACAAAGCTTAACATATAAATGTATCCAAAATGCCTGATGAGAATAACTGGTACCACTTTTGCCTCTAATCAGAGACCACAGCATTCTCTATGAACTTAATAAGCTATAGCCAAGTACATGGTATGGAAAGTCCTTTACTCATTGCCTTCAAGAGATTTTGATTTCGTAATAAGAAGAATGGTTTTGATGATGTAAAGTACTTGTAAGGCAGAGCAAGGATAATAACAGAGCTTGGAGGATGCGTCAACACCCACCCTGTGAGGAGGTAAAGCCCAAATGTGTTTATTGGGCACCAGGAAAAACCTTGGCAGTAGAAGCAAATGAGAAAGGAAACGCGAGTGCGCGCACACACACACAGAGATGCACAGAGAGAGAGAAAAAGAAAGGGGGGGGAAGAGAAAGAGGGAAACAGAGAGAGAGAAGGAGGGAGAGAAAGACAAAAGAAGGAGGAGAGAGGAGAGAGAGAAGGAAAAGGAGAGGGGGAGAGAGAGACAGAAACAGAGAGAGTTGAAATGAAATGCTTGTTTTGGGGGGCCAGGAAGAAAACAAGGTCATCTGAATAAGGATGCACTCGACCTTTGATCTGAGAATCTACTTGGGCCCCTTTGCCTGAGTCTTGTGTTTGGTTCTCCTCACAGAGTTCATTTCATTTGTATTTTTTAATGAAAATATTAAAAACCACATGTTTTGAGAAAACACACACACATGCACACACAAAAGCATCTGAGAATGCAAACTGAGGTGAGGTTGTTTTCCCGATTTAAATCTGTGTCAACATTTGTCCATATAAAACCAAGATGGAAATTTTTCAGAAAGTGAGCCTTCTTGCCAGTCTCTAAGAGGAGATTCTCAGCTCTTGGTATAAAGTTCAGCTAGCTAATGCCCTTTGCATGGTATTTTCTTTGAATTCATTCCCATATCCGGTCCAGGGCTTTGGCCCCTCATTCAGAAACGTCCCCTTAGCTTATGCAGATGATTCCATACACTTCCCATTCTTAATATCCCAAGTTTAGGCTGTAAGCTAAGTCATGGTTATTTGCCCAATAATTGACAAAATTCTCTAAGGCCATTAAGTTTCCAAGAAGATACCAAGATAAATTGGCAGAAGGAATTTCCTTATTTAGAGTCCCTACAGCAGTAAAATCACAGGTCCAACTGAAACCACCACCACAACGAGAAGAATCCAACAGCTTCCACATTTTTTCAACCCTAGTCACTGCTGTCCTCTCCTGTCGATAGATGAGTAAATACAGTAAACAGACACAACACCAAGCTCCAAAGGCAAGGTCATCATTTCTACTACCTTCAGAGTCATATTCCTGGGCCTTGTACATGCAGTCACATCCAGTCAAATCCAAAGGGTCTTTGCCCTATCCCCTTACATTTGTGAATCTTTCCCAGGTTCTAATTCCCTCTTTCCATCCTTCTAGGTCCAGCTCATGGACAGGTCAAGAAAGGATGATACCGGTGTCTCGCCTTGTCTAGGCAATGAGGATCATTGACTCAACCAGAAATCCTTTATCTCTGTAGATAAAATGTCTTTGAATGTATGTTTCTGAAGCCAGAGAACAGGAGTGGGGAACCTGCAGCCTCAAGGGCCCTCTACGTCCTCAAGTGAGGTCCTTTGAATGAATCCAAACTTCACAGAACAAATCTCCTTAATAAAAAGATTTGTTGGGGCAGCTAGTTGGCACAGTGGATAGAGTACCGGCCCTGAAGTCAAATCAAACTAAACACTTGACACTTACTAGCTGTGTGGCCCTAGGCAAGTCACTTAACCCCAACTGCCTAAAAAAAAAAATTGTTCTGTAAAACTTGGACTCCGTCAAAAGGCCGCACCCCAGGACCTAGAAGGCAACATGTGACCTTGAGGCTGCAGGCTCCCCACCCCAGCAGAAGAATGGAAAATAAATGGGAACTCGTTTTACTACCTTGGATGGTTTATTGAAGAGGCAGGCACCACCTCCATTATTTAAGAAGTCGTGATACTCATCGACATTGCACTGAGAGAACTTTTTCGGGAGGTAATAGCTGGAAAGAAACAAAAAAATCAGTAGTTGGGTACTTTTGTTCTCCCTTGCTGGTACTTATAATTATATTGTACATTCCTCTTAAAAGTGAAAGAAAAGGACAACTTCCACTCATCCACAATGCATTTATTCAAGCCATATGGGTTATTTTTGCATGAAAGATGTAGCTTAAGGTTTCTTAATGGTTTAAATGAAAACCGAATGTGTTTCACCTCACATGCACCCCTACCGGGAGGAGAAGGAAGCTCATTTACGGCAGAGTAATCTCTCCTGAAAACTTTAATGTTACCTCCATGTCATTTGATAGATACTTGCAATCAAAACACTAGGACTGATTCTCATCCCTCTACATTGCTTTATTTCTAGATTCTCTTATATTCTTACAGTGTGGGTGCACCACGTTTACCTTTTAAAAACCAAGGCATTCCATCTTTCATCTCCATCCCTTTGCAGGGAAGGTGTCCTCATATCCGAAATGCGCTCCTCCCTTATGTATCTCTCTAATCTATCTATCTACCTATCTATGTGGTGTATCCTTTTCAGCCCTGCTCCTTCCCACCCTCCCATCCCTACCCCCAGGAGAAAGCAAACTCCTTGAGATCAGGAAGTATTATTTGTTTAGTCTTTGTAACCTCTGCCAGTGCCTAGGACAGTGCTGTGCTCAGGGTAGGCATTTAATACAGACTTCTGAGATTGAATTAGAAGATTAGAAGTCTCTCAAATCCCTACACACTTTATTGATCTTTCTGTGTCTATTAATCATTTGTCAATCGACCGTAAACTAACCTGTGGCCACTAATTGTTATCTTTGACATCGCTTTTTTTGCCTTTTCTTCTATCCTTGGCAATGGTGGATAGAAAGCTGGGCCTGGAGTTAGGAAATTGTTGTTATTTAGTTAATTAGTTAGTTATGCTGAAGAGCATAAATTTTGTCCGACTCTTCAAAACCCCGTTTGGGGTTTTCTTGGCAGAGATACTGGAAGGGTTTGCCATTTCCTTCTCCAGCTCATTTTACAAATGAGGAAACTGAGGCAAACAGGATCACACAGCTAGTAAGTGTCTGGGTGAGTGATTCCAGGGCTTGCACTCTCTCCATTGCACCACCTACCTGCCCAAGGAGTTAGGAAGACTTGAGTTCAAATTCAGTCTCAGGCACTTACTAGCTGTGTGACTTTGGACAAGTCACTTAACTTCTGCCTGCCTCAACTTCCTTTTCTATAAAACATGAATAATAACAGCACCTATCTCCTAGGATTGTTGTAAGGACAAAATGAGATAATACTGTATTTGTACAGTGCTTAGGTAGCACTGTGCTTGGTACAGAGTTTGACAAATGCTCGTTTCCTTCTCTCCTTTTTTTCTTTGCTTCCTTCCTTCCTTCATTCTTTCCTTTCTTTCTTCTTTCCTTTCTTCCTTCTCTGTTTCTCTAAATAGGCTGTAAGAGGCATAAGAGCAGAGACTAAGTACTCTACTTATTTCTACCCCCTAGAATTCCTAGTACAGTGTTCCCACACATGGCGGGTTATCATTAAACTTTTCTGGATTCGAATTAAATTTTGTGTTAGTTATCCTAGTAGGAGGATAACATGTCCATATAGAAATATATATAAAAAATCAATATATGCAGGATAAATGCAAAAGAAATAAAAAGAAATTAAAAATAAAGTTATTGGGGAAAGGTCTAGAAGCTGGGAGCATTAGGAAAGGCTTCATATAGAAGGTGTTTTGAAGAGCATCTTGAAGGAAGGGAGGGAATCCTTGAGGCAGAGATAAGAAAGGACGGCATCCTAGGCATGAAGAACAGTCAGTGCAAAGGTACTGAGATGGGAGATAGAGGACCTTTTGTGAGGAGCAGAAAGAAGGCCAGGATGAAGGGACTGCTGAGTGTAGGAAGGAGAATGATGTATAATGAGGCTGGAAAAATAGCCTGGAGTCAGGCTGCAAAGGGTTTTAAAAAAAAAATTTACATTTTATACTGGAGAAAAGGGATAGATACCAGAGTTGCTTGAAGAAATAAGTGATATGGTTAGATGTGGATTTAAAGAAAATAACATTGTGGGGGACGTGGATTGGAGTAGGGAGCAGCATGAGTCAGGGAAACAAAGTGGGAGGCAATTGCTCTAGCCAAGGCAAGAGGTGATGAGAGCCTTCACTATTGATGGCAGAGTGAGTAAAGGGGAGATGGATCATTAGAAGAACGTCACAGAGGTAGAAATGGCAACATTAGGTAATTGACTAGATATGATGGAGGAATGAAAGGGAGAGCCAAGGAGGAGTCAGAGGTTACAAATCTGGGTGACAGGAAGCACAGTGATGCCCTCAGCAGAAATAGAGGAGTTTGATAGAGGGGTAGGTTTGGAAGAAAAGATGTGTTGAGTTGGAGATGTCTCTGGGATATTTGGTTTAAAATAAAAATTTTGGTCATATGGCACCTAAGCTCAGAAAAGCGCCTAGAGTTGGAATTCAGATCTCTGAGTCATCTTCATAGAGATGATACTCCAATTTCCCATAAATACCTATGGTAAGGCTTCCTGTCTGGAGTTATCCTAATTCTGGTTATCAAGTATCACAATTCTGAGTAGTAAAGCACACCTATGCAAGTAATATTGCATTGTTTTCTTATCACTTATATGTGAAAGTACAAAAAATGAAATCACTTACCCCGTGTCTCCCATTATGCATCCAGACCATGTGTCCTCACACTTACACTCACCTAAGAAAAACATAAAAATATATCTCAAGCAGATACATTATAGGACTTTCTATTTTAAAAACAGATCTCTGGCTTATTCTCATTCCTCAAAGTATCTTTTCAAAAGTACTGTCTGTTATTATTTTTTTCTGACATTTCTAACTTGTAAACAACATATAGTGATTCCCTCTTCTCAAACATGCTCCCCCATTTCCAACACCCTACACATCGGTTAACTAAAATACTGTGCTCTGGAATTTTTTATGATTCCATCTTTTTCTCAGTATTCACTTTACCCTGACCAAAGCAAATATTCATTCAAAATGTTCTACTGAAACTTTTTTTTTCTTCTAGAGATTTTAAATTCCCAACAAAATGTTAAATAAAATCAAAATACTTCTAGAGGGACCAGTTTCACAACAATGTGATGCTATTAGAATTATGCATGGGAGTGGGGAGTGGGGATGAGGGAGAGCATCCTTTGGGCCAAGGCAGAAAAGACACCTCCTAAATATTGATGTAGGTAAATTGTGCTATGGCTACCTGTAAAACTGACTATTCATGGACAAAATTCAATTACAAGTGAATAGATAGATCTGACTTCCTGGCAGCTATTGATTAAGCAAATTTTACTGGGCCCATGAACAATAATAATTTATTTTAAAATAAGCAAGGAATGCATTAAGTTTTGAATCAAGTACCTAATGATTCCTAGTCTGCAGATAGTTTCATGTTAAATAGCTTTACAAATATAAACTCATTATAAAAAAAAGTATTATATATACCCCATTCCTTGGCACCTCATAGCTAGGACTGTCCATTCAGTTTTTGGAAAAATGAGCAGCCTGATCTTAGTTTACCTTTAAAGTTACCCCCATTCACCTCTACTATGAATTTTCGGTAGCAATTAAGAATAGGGACTAGATGTATGATTTCATTAGTTAAAGAGACCTCCCAGATGAGAAAACTCCCTTTACCAATGCAAGTTGGCACCTTCCCTGAAACTTATAGTCAGAGAGAGTTGCCTAGTCACTTAGAGGTTAAGTGATTTGCCCAAGGTCACAGTCAATATGTATCAAAGACAGAATTTAAATTCAGTTCTTTTTGACTTCAAGGCTAGCTCTCTATCTACAATTTCACATTGCTTCTGTGAACTTATCAGTATAGCAGATATGTATTTTTATTTTACAAAATTCTATTTTATTTTAAACTTTATTTTATTTTACTTTTCATTTTATTTCACCATCATCAATATTAATTACTCCTATTTACCAAAGACCATGACCTCCCCTGGCTACTTACTTTGCAAAGTCTAATGCTTTCAGGTGGGCATCTGAATTCCAGTATCCATTCTCAAATTACAACTTACAAAACTTTCTTCCAAACAAAGTTATGTGTAAAGTGTTACTGATATATGCTTTACTGATACTAATATATACTGATAGATAAAATTTCTAAAACTTACCGCTTACTAATTTTCTTTTGTCTGAGAAAATACCAAGATTATGTGCTAATGATTGCGCAAGAGTGACTGCCATTAAATCCGTTTTCCCAAACTAGAAAAAAAGCAAACAAATAACAAAATGTGGGAAAACATCATTCTTATCAAACAAGACCAGAAAAAAGTTCTCAGAACATGATCAAGCTTGAGCAAATTTCAGAAATTTACTTCAGCATAGGCTCAACACATTCAGTTGGCCTAAAATATTGGGCATTCAGAGAGAATTCAATTTAATGAGCATTTATTATGCACCAACTATGTGCCAGGCACTGTGCTGAAGGAAGCAGTAAGAAGTTACTTGTTTGATCTTGCTTTGATCTATTGGGGTTGGTACCTTAATTTAAAACTGAAGTCAAATGACACCTGTCTGTAGCTAAAAATTGTGACTTTTCTATAAAAACACAGTGGGCTGCTATCAGGTAGAAGTAAGTAGAGAAAATCTTCCTTGAGTCCTTTGTTAATCTGTTCTCACTTGGGAAACTTTCAGATTCAAAATATTTCCTCCTTCTCCCCCCAAAAAAACCAATTGCCTCTAGATGCAAATGCAACATAAAGAAGCCTGAAATTGAAAGGAACACTAGAATTCGTTCTTGGTCAATAGAAAAAACATTCTTCAAATTTGGGGAGTATCATGAATATATAATTTATACTTGACCTCCCAATGGTTCTAGAAGTTCTAGAAGATATTCTCTTAGCCCACCTATTTCAGTCTTATGGTACCCAGAGAAATTGCCTTTGGAGAATACTGATGAAAAGTCAGTGGTCAAGCTTTCCTTCAGAACTGTCCAAATTCTCTGGGGGTCAATGAATTCCAAATCTGGTAGTTAGTAATGACAACCAGAGAATGATTCAATTTTCTGAAGAATTTCTGAGGAATAAACAAGGCTTTATTGAATGCAGGTAGAGCTTAAGTTTCATGTCCTTTTTTTCTCCTACTCACTTCTTACATAATTTATAAAAGTAGGCATCTGAGTGACTCAATGGATAGAGCATTGGACTTGGAATCAAGAATACTTCAGTTCAAATTTTTTCACAGACATTTGTTAACTGTGGGACCCAAGTCATCCAACCTTTGTCTGTATCAGTTTCCTCATCTGTAAAATGGGCATAATAATAGCATTTTATTATTATTATGCTATTATATGATATGATAATAGAAGGTTAATATTACCATATTAGTATTACATTATAACATAATGTAACATATTATATTATATTACTATATGCCAGAGTCGTGAGGATCAAAGAAAATTTTATTTATAAAGCATTTAAAGTACTATATAAATGTTGGTTATTATTAAGTAGAATATATTTTTCGTAGTAACTATTGTCACATAGAGTTAGGACAATGCAAACAGAAATTGTTTTCCATAATGTTTCTCCATTCTGTCTTCCAGTCCTTGAAGTGATGATGTGCTCTATACATCAAAGTTCTATGATTTCCACAGTGGAGTGCCAGGACAAATGGCATCTGTAACTTTATGAATCAGTCTTAGAGAGTTGTTTGAAGTTTCAGAGAAGTTAAGTCACTTACCCAGGGTCAAACAGCATATAACTGTCAGGGGTAGAATTTGAACCAGCTTTCTATCCACTACGTTCTCCCCCTTTACATGTTCTATACTAATAAACAATGAACACAAGTAACTCAATTATCTGAAAGTTATGGACGAATTATTCGGTAATTGTGTTGTAAATGGTGGGAAGCTTTTTGGCCTCGGTACCACCTTCTATTACCCAGATGTGCACACCTACTTCATTCACTCCTCCTCCTTTCAGCAACGAGCAAATCCCACCAATATAAGCTGCCCCACTCCGGCTACTCTCAAATCGACTTCCCCTTTTAGAAAAGGAAACAAACAAACAAAAAATTGCTTACTGTCCACAGTTTCACAGCACCTCAAAGTGTTAATTTACTACATTTATTCACTCATGGCAAGTCACCATTTCTACGCTGCATCAGCCTGTGAGAGATAAGGATCTTTATGCATGCAGACATAAAATAACAAATCATTCACTAGTGGGCCCAGTAAGACGAACATCTTCAATAGAAGAACACTTTCTAGAATTCTCTCCCCCACTTCCCCCACGGAATTCCTTTTGGGTGATTTTAGAAAAAATTCTACAATGCCAGGCATAGTGATGCACACTGATAATCCTAGGCAGAGACTAGCGGATGGCTCGAGTTTAGGAGTTCTGAGCTGCAGCAGGGCTAAAGCTGATCGTGTATTCTCAGAAAGTTTGGCACCAATATGGTGCCCCTGGGAGCATGGCAGGCAGCCCAAGTCTGAAACAAAATAAGTCAAAGCTTCTATCACAATCAGTAGTGGGGTCTGTCCATGACAGATGATTGCACTTCCGATTTGGGTGAAATAGTGAGACCCAGTCTCAAAAAAATGAATAAATAAACAAACTAATTAATTAATAGACAGATGGATGAATAAATACATAAACAAATGAATAATTAAGAGAATAAATTCTATGGCAACTCCTAATTATCATAGATCTGAAAAAAGTTGATGTTTCACTATCGAAAAAAAATAGTTTCAGAAAATTAATAAAAATACAAAATGGACCTGCCAATGCTGTATTATTAGGTAGGAAGTTTCAGAAGAAGTACCAGAAGGTAGGCATGCTTAGGAAAAACACTAGCCTGTGTTGCCTAAAAGATTCATGGGAGGTACTCTAGGCCATACTTTTTTTAGTGAGAGAAGATGTTTGGTAGAAGTGTGATGTTATATCACAGAGAACCCACTCTCATGAAATCCTAGCTATGTGGACACTGGAAAAATGAAAGTAAGTAGATGTTAATGGATCATTCAACAAACATTTATTAACATCCTACTATGCACTAGGAATTGTAATAGTCATTTGGTATACAAACACAAGCATACATAAAAATGAAAGTCTGTTTATCCATTAAAAATACCTTGAAATTAAGACTCTTCAATTTACATGAAAAACAATAGAATTTATGCATTTAAATCTCCCAATCTCCAAGTTACTGAAATAGCTTTGGCATAATTATTCTTAATTATCTAATTGGGGAGGGGGGCAAAGATACACCTCAATCACAAACAGTAATGGATTCAAAAGAGAACAGCAAAAAGAAAGCAGTAAAACATGATGTGAAATGACATACGAGAAAAGGTGGACGGCATCGCTTTTCTCTTTGATAAAATCCTTCCGATATTTCATGAACTCACGTAGGGTTGTCAGCGGTTTTTCAGATATGGTGAACTTGTTGTCAGCTGCCCAGGTTTCCATGGCAACCAACACTATCCTTGTCTTAAGTTGTTCCTTATAGATCTAGTATATTAATGAAATGAACACACAAGTTGTAATATCAAAGGACACATGAAAATGTCTAGAGGAAGCCCTTTAGAGGTAGGAAACCTCTTGAGTTTTAAATGGATGGAGTGGAGAGAGGGGTGAAAGAAAGGACTGTAGGAAAGGATTCTCTGCTGATTTTGAAGGGAAAAATGATGGGGTTGGGCTGTATCTTTTCCCTAATTTCCATATATTTCTCCTAAGTAACACAATGACTAATCACACACCAGGGAACAATAGTTAAGGATTTTGTTATGACACCATCTGACATTGTTAATAAGGGAACCAATTTGTGTCCCTTTGCTTGGCATCTTAGACAGAGTATAGGACAGTCTAAAGCTTCCCTGAAGAATACTAGAACAATGAAGAATCCCAGGGTAAATCATTTATACCCAATGATGGCTGTTAAAGAGCTTTGGAGAAACCATGGGTATGTGAACCTTAGAGGTAAGCCATTGTAGCTGAGAACATAAGAACCCAGGGTCTAGGTAACAGCCCCTGTCTTGTGTTCATTCTCACACGAAAGGAACCTGGCTCTATCTCTGCGTTCCTCTGTTTGGGGTGGCCCTTTGGGGAGGGAATCAACCCTTGTCTTTATTCTGGGTGGAATCTACAGAAGGTATTACAGACATAAACTCATCAAGTTTGATCTCCTTTTGACCATCCTCCCAGCCACAGATTCGGGTTTAGAAACCCTATTAAGAGGTTACCAGAAACTTCAGAGAAGCACATGACTTCATTTGAAATCTTCATCAACCACATCAGTTACAATATTAAAGGACAAGATGTATTATTTGCATCATTAGCAAGTATGACTTAGAACTTATTGAGAATGGCATTTAACTGGATTTATACTTACTAAATCTGCCATGTTCACCACAGATTTAGCATAGGTATTTGTATGCATCACCGAGAGTCGATGTTTTTTAAACTGAAAATGAAAGAAAATAAGTGAAGAGTTTTTGAAGTCAAGCAACAGTAAATCAGCATCTCTAAGGGAAAGTCAGAAAACATGAATATGATTAGAAATTATGGTATTAATACAAATTTTAAAGTTAAACTAGATTTCTGAAAGACATTTTTTCCCCCAACAGAACAGAGATACCATGGGCTCACAGAAAGTGGGCCCTAGGTCTACATTTCAAGAGACTGGGAGTCTACTCTTGTGACTGTGGGGCATTGCATGAATCATTTTACCTTAGTTTCCTCATCTATAAAAAGAGGATGGTATGCGATGATCTCCATCCTTGTACTTCTAAGGTCCTATAACTGATAAATGGCTATGACTGGGACAGAAGGCTGGTCTGAAAAATCCCAGAAACATTTCCTAGTAATCTCAGGAAACAATCTGCCACTCTCTGATTTTTTTTAAAGTATTTTTTAAAGCAGCCAAAAGTTAAATTGCCTTTTATAATTACAATATCAAAATCAGGAGTGGTATTATGTAGTGGATAAAGGGCTATCTTTGGAGTGAAGAAGATATGGCCAAGCTCGGCCTCTGATGTATCCTAGCCATGTAACCCTGGACCAATTATTTAAACTCTCAGGGTTCCAGGCACTTCTCTAATTATATAAATTACGTATAATATAAATGACATATTATTACATATAACATAAATTACAGATGGATTGCTGATCTGCAGTGATGGAAGTAGTTTCCACAACAGGAGTTTGTCATATCAGTGAAATCACAGGTCCAGACAAAAAAAAAATAAATAAAACAAAATTCTTACCAAATCTACAAGAAACAGTGTGGGATCATGGGATGAGAGTAGAATCAAAGCCAGAAGGTCCTGGCTCTGACACAGATAGGCAAGTCACTCAACCTCTCGGTTTCCTAGGCAACCTTCTAAGACTACAAAACGCTAAGAAGATGCCAACCTACATTGGCAGAGTTTCCTCATCTGGGTACTCCCTATACCAATACTGTGCTAATCCCTGCAGATATAAAGGTAAAAGTAAAACAGTCCCTGCTCTCAGACAACTTACATTCTAAAGTGTGTGTGTGTGTGTGTGTGTGTGTGTGTGTGTGCATGCACATGCAAACACTTGGGGCAGGAAAGAGAGATTAGAACAAGATGTACATATATGAATATACATATATGTATCTCCAATCCAATAAACATTTATTAAATGCCTACTATGCACCAGGCACTATATTAAGTGCTGGGGATACAATTAATAAAAAGAAAGGCAGTCCCTGCCCTCAAGGAACTTATAATCTAATGGGAAGAGAACACACAAAAAGAAACAAGAAAGAGAAGGAACGGGACACCATGAGGTACATGGAATTGAAAGCAGGCAGAACTGCAGAAGCAGAACAGAGTGAGACCAAAAGTCCAGTTTTTACCTTCTCTAAAGAAAGGCATTGGGAGGAATTTAATACTCCACCCTCTAGCTCTCCAATCAGTGTGGAAAAGAGACTGATGGAGGTGGTTATCAGTTGTGTGTGTATGTGTGTGTGTGTGTGTGTGTGTGTGTGTGTGTGTGTGAAGAAAGAGAGAGACAGAGAGAGAGAGAGAACATTCAGAAATGTGGACATTGTTGAACATTTCTTGAGAATTAAGCAAATTAGCCTTCAATCTAGTGTGTCCCTTTACTTTTCTGCACACAGTAGTAGAAGGATAGGAAGGGGTGCTATAACTTCAGACCATCTATAAACATTAACTTAGCTGTTGTTATTCTAAATATGAAATCTGTGTATAGTGAATAACGAATTGACATAATACCGGAAGAACCGAGTGGTGTCAATATAGATATTCTCATCATAAAACCAGAAGACAAAAGGAAATCGCAGCTCAATGGAAAGATGGCTCACAGGTTCTCCTGGGAGAAGTAAGATCATAATAAAAAGACCACCATAAAGATAATTGCAGATTAAGCACCAACAGCTGTTGCAGAAGAAGCAAAGAAATATTTTGAAGAATTTAATAAGATCTTTCAAACCAGGCAAACATATGCTATATACTAAGAGACTTCAATGTGAAGATGGACATGGGAAGATAGTGAAAAGCATTTTGGAAAATAGGACTCAGGTTTGAGAACTAATAGAGGCTAAATTCTTGTAAATACTCAGAAGTCTCTTGGGTATATGTTATAAATACTTACTTCCAGAAGAAAGTCTGAAGGTGCTGGATATGGTAAGCACCAAATATCAACACACATACACACACACACACACACACACACACACACACACACACACACACATACACACTCACAATAAAACAGACTATATTTTAACACATGGGAAATGATTGGTTACTGATGTGGCAGTCATTTCACAAACAGTTATCTGAATACAGTCAGAATAAAAGTTAAAGTCAATATCAGATTAGGAAAAAAAAAGAATAAAGGTGAGAAGAAGGTACTATATACTACAGCAACAAGTTCAACTGTACCCATTTAAATGAGCCATCAAGGCCAAATCATAGGAATGGAAGAAGGCAAAGATACTTATAGAATTCATTGCTAATTCCTACAAAAGCTTGCCTTAAACAATAGCAACAGCTGCCAAGTGAAGAGGCCAAAAGAGTCTCCAAATCCCCTTAGCCAGCAAACATTTAATGCCATTACAGCATGATGGCAGCCAAGGGTGACATCAGTTTAGAATATAAAATCAGTTGTAGAACACTATTGAGAAGGGTGGTGTAAAACCATAAGCAATATCACTTCACAAACCAGTGCATAGCAATGAAAGGAGAGAAATCTACAGAAAACTTGATGAGACCGAATGGAGCAATGATTCAAACAGCATATGCATCCAATGACCAAAATAGCAGCAAGGAAACAGATAGAATGTGGACCAGACGTGTCAACAATTCCATGTTTTTTTCATTATTGTTGAAAATTGAGTCACCATATTTGGCCCACTGGGCAATGGAGAGATGTCTTTATTGTTCTTCAGTTGTTTTAGCCATGTCTGACTCTTTGTAACCTCATTTGGGTTTGGCTTTTTTTTTTGGTAAAGATACTAGAGTGGCTTGCTATTTCCTTCTCTAGCTCATTTTACATATGAAGAACTAAGGCAAACAGGGTTAGTCACTTGCCCGGGATCACTCAGCTAGAAAAGGTCTGAAGCCAGATTTGAAAATCAGGAAAATGAGTCTTCCTGACTCCAGACCCAGGGCTTTATCCACTATGCCACCTAGCTGCCCAAATGGAAGGATACATGGTAGGAACAAAAAGCCTTCAAATAATTTCCTATGATGATTTATACATAAGAAATGGCATAAGGGATATCTTCAAGGAAATATACAATCAGAAAAGAGGATGGATCAGTCCCCCACAAAACATATAAATACTCTTAACTTTTTGTTTTACATCCCTTTGGCATTCTAATGAAACCCATGACACCTCAGAGTAATGTTTAAAATAAATGAAGGATATGCTGAATTTCAGTAAGGGGTTAGTGAAAATAAAGCTGTAATTCATTCACAATCAAGTTCATGGATGCCCTGAAATCTGTCCAGAGATGGACCCCAGGTTAAGAACCACTGACCTAGAGGAAGACCTCAAGTAGCTCTTAATTCTTAATGTGCTATATGAGGAAGTTTAAGTGGTACTCAAGACTGTCAGAAAGAGAAGGCAGATCAGATCAAGAACATACTGAAGAATCAATGCTGGGTGCTTCAAAATGTTAAAGGGTCATATTCCAAGATATGTCAGGGAAGGAGAGATACCAAAAAATGGGGGAAATTGTGTATAATACTTGTTTCCTAAAAAGATGATCAAAAAGACATCAGTAACCACTGACCCATATTTCTACTTGGTCATCTTTATAACTCTATGACAATGAGCTATACACATATATGAGAAAAAAAAATGGGGCAGGCTTTCACCAACAGTTCTGCTACAGCAAATCACACCTTATAGTCATGTGAATACCCAGAAGGTTCAGAGAATACAAGATGCTATGGCATTTACTGGATGGCAAAAATTACATTCGACTCAACAGAGAAAGATAAAATATCAAAGTTTCTCCTCCAACAATGAATCTCTCATGCAGATACTAAGTTTACATAAGGTCCCTTGATAAGAACCAACAGAACAATAATCCTATTCAATATCCCACTGTTTATTAATATCAAGAAAGGTGTAAAACAGGGATGTGTATGCTCCACAAAGATATATATTCACCACTGTCAAGGAGATTATCTTGTACAAGATACAGATGGAAGTGGTATCCCCTATAGATGGTGAGGTCTTCCAAATACTCCTATTTGCACACGGTATTATGCTGATTGCACCCAGCCCCAAAACATTATGAGACCTCCTCAATGAGATCGATGATTACTCAAAAGAAATTGGTCCAACAGTCCACACAGGACAAAATGAAATATATGAAAAATGCCTATTGTCCAGACTACGACACAAAGTTGAATAGCCAATCCATTGAGTTAGTATATCACTATCTATAATCCATCCATCTATCTATCTATCTATCTACCTATCTATCTATCTATCTATTTATCTGTCTATCTATCTATGACACATCCTGCTTGTTGACAATAAACTGGGCCCAGAACAAGTAAGAGGAAATGCAATCAATATATTCAACAATGTTAGGCTGCCACAAAACTCATCTTTGTAACACAAATGTTGCATTGTGATGATGCATGATTGTGAATATTGGAATACAACATTCTCCAAAGAATCAAAGTCATACATGACCTGAAGAATAATGGAAAGACACGTGTGGGAAAAAATAGAAAACATACTTCCTACGACAACCTCTTGGCAGAAAGTGATACAAGGGATATTTTCAACGAAGAATATGATAACTGCATGAAGGGAGATAGTCCAGTCATATAGCAAGAAAAACCAACAACAGATGGGCATCCTAAATTCTACCTACATTGACATCCTAAATTCTACCTACAAAATGTCTCCAATATGTTTAGTAGATATGCCGTGGGGAATTTTTGGGGAAAAAAGGATGGACAAGAATTGCACAAAACCAAAAGACAAGGATGGGTTTGCAAATTGCCCTGATGGAGGGAGTATGTGAAACTATAAGATTAAAGATCTATTTAAATATTAAAGTATTATTTTATTTCATGTGAAACTATGAGGTTGAAGATACATTTAAATATTGAAGTCTTATTTTATTTAGGGCAGCGAGGTGGCACAGTGGATAGAGTACTGGGCCTACAGTCAGGAAGACTCCTCTTTCTGAGTTCAAATCTGGCCTCCAGCACTTACTAGCTATGTGACCCTGGGCAAGTCACTTAACCCTGTTTACCTCAGTTTCTTCATCTGTAAAATGATTGGGAAAAGGAAATGGTAAACCAGTATCTTTGCCAAGAAGACCCCAAATGGGGTCACAGAGTCAGGCATGACTGAACAGCAACAAAACTATTTTTTAATCTAGTTTTAAAGGAAATGTACACATCAACACTAATTCTACTCAAGCCTATCTGAAATGAGCTTTAGGATTTAGGTGTGGAAGGAATCTTTAGGATCAATGAGTTTACCCTCTCATTTATATCAAGCTGAAATGATTTGACCAAGGTCACAATGAGTGGCAGAAATAGGATTGAAACCAAGGTCTTCTGACTTCAAATTCAGTCCTATTTCTATTATATCCATGACATCACATACCATGATCATGGTTATAACCATCATGTTATATTTAATGTGGCTAGTGAACACAGTTGAACTGCCTATTACTGCTAGATAATATAGGAATACACATTGACCATCTTATGCACCCTCTTTAGTTGTAACATGCAAGGCTTCACTTCTAGCCTCCACAGGATTTTCACCATCCTTACCCGAGAGCATGCATAAGTTTCAAATGAAGTATAAGTCCTACCATTAGGTGATCATTCACTATCATCAGTTCAACATATTTTGTCTCCTCTTCTACATTGCGTGGATGCCGACGAAGCTGCAGAAATATTAAAAAACAACAACAAACATTTATTAAATACCTACCATGTGCAGCACATTGAATCTGGGGAGGGATGGGAGATGGAGACAAAGATTACAATCTAATTAGGGGGTATGATGTACACACAAAAATCATTCTAATACCATGTGACAGATGCTAAGTGGGGCAGCTAGGTGACGCCATAGTGCACAGAGTGCCCAGCCCGGAATCAGGAAGACTCATCTTAAGCAGTTCAAATCTGGCCTCAGACACTTACTAGCTGTGTGACACTGGGCAAGTCACTTAACCCTGTTTGCCTCAGTTTCCTCATCTGTAAAGTGAGCTTGAGAAGGAAACGGCAAACCACTCCAGAAGCTTTGCAGAGAAAACCCAAAATAGGTTCATGAGGAGTCGGACATGATTGAAAATAACTGAGAGATAACAAGAAGATACTAAGTGCGCTAGAGAAGAATAACCATACTGCTAGGTGAGGTCTGAGATGTGCTGATATCAGCTGCAGTAAGGGACAGGATAGAGGCAAATCCTCTTGCAGGGCGTGGCATCAGAGTTAGGCTTTTAAGTATGGCTGGGAATTCACTGGGTGGAGGATGAGGATCAAAGAGGGAAGGTCAGGCCTAAAGAACAGTATGAGCAGAGGCAGGAAAGTACAGTCCAGGGAATGATTAGTAGTGCAGCTTAGCTGGTACACAGGGTACTATCAATCCATTAACAAGCATTTATTAAGTACCTAGCACGTCAAGCACTAAGGGATACAAAGACAGTCTCTGTCTACAAGGACATTATGTTCTAAAGAGAACAGTAGTATACAGGAAAGAAAACAAGATGGCACCATGCTGCAGAGGGTCTCAAATGCCAAGATAATATTTTTTTAACCCAGCTTTCTAAATAAGCCTTAGAAAAATTACCTATAGAACAACATCAAGATGGGAGAAACAAACAGGAAATGATAATGTGGTTTGTTTGGTTTTTTTTGGGGGGGGGAGGTCTTTTTTATATGTTTTTCTTCTACTTAGAGCCAAAGATTGTGTATATACCCCATAACGTCAAGAGAATGAACACAGTAATCATTGATGTATGCGAATAAAATAATAATATTAATTCATGTATTCTTCCACCTGGAAAACTCAACAGGCTTAATGTACATGAACTCATTAATTTTCACAATTACTCCTCTCCTCTCAGTATCAATAATAAAATTAAAGCCGGTTCAGGTTGTATAGGTAAATATTAGAAGAAATAATGATTTAAAATTAATAGAGAAATGCTGACAGTACTTCTAGGATTGAAAACAAAAGAGTAACACTAAATACAGTCAGGTAGAACTCCTCGAAAATTTTGTTTTGTAGAAAGCGTATGCAAAGCTTCTTTCTAATTATGTTTTATGGGATGTAGGGTTGGGACATGACAAGTTAATAAAGTAGGCTGTCCCTGTAAATTTTAGTTATTTTATTTTTAATAATATCAGGAGGTATGCCCAATTACCTTTGTAATGCCTCAGCAACTCAGGTCCTCTTCGGCAAAAAGAAGAGATTGGATGTCCTGATATATAAGACACTTTCCAGCTATTAATTTATGATCTTATGAACTCAAGAAAATGAGCCATTTCTTCCTCTGAATCAGCAACCTAAGTTTTAGGCCAAGCTTTGCGAGTGGCTGGCTGGGTGATTTGGACAAGCCTTACCTTTTGAGGACTCAGTGTTCTCATGTGTAAAAATGAAGAGGCTGGATCAGATGATCCAGCTTCCTTCCAACTTTAAAATTTCATGACGGCAATTTTGCCTCTATCTCGGAAAAGAAGTATGGTATAGTGGAAAGAGTGTTGAACTCAGAGTCTAAAGAAACAGGAATTCCACCTTTTGGTTCTCACTAGCTATGTGATCACCAAGTTTGCTAATTTCTCCGAACCACAATCTCCTTATATACACAACGAGGATGATACTATCTATACCTCATTGTTCTGTCATGAGGATCAAATGAAATATATGTTGGCTTTGGCAACCTCAAAACATATAAATGTCAGCTGCTATTATTATCTTGATTCATTTCAATTTTTCTCTCTAACTTGCTTAGTCTAATTGGGAATGTATTTCCCCAATTCTACTTCCCTCCAAAGACCATTAAATATAAGATTTTATTCACTAGGTTTAAATTCTGGCTTTCTTTACCGCACAGCAATAAGGCCTAATGAGATAATAGTAACCTGGGGTCCCAATGTGCATTCTCAAGGTCAAGGTGCAACAGAGATATAAATACCAGCTGGACAGACCTCATTATGTAGACCAGAGCAGAGTTCCAAGGTGATAGAATAAAAAAATCCTATTATTACTTGTTTTTGAGTGAGAATCATAATCATCACTGCAGTAGAGAGTGTTGCAGTGATATCACTAATCTCAACTCCTAATTCTCATCTCCCAACTTTTTGGGGGAGAAGGAGGTCAGACTTTGAAGTCACGCTCTACAAATGAGACCCCAGGATTTAGAGTCAGACCGTGGATTCTTCAGTCGGACCTGCCAACTGCATGATTCACAATCTTGCAGAAATCATCTTGGGATTCCTCTTCCTCAGAGGTTCTTAGGTCTCTGGATGACCACTTCTCTGATACGTTGCAGTCTAGATTCCTTTTGGGGTAGGGTTGGATGAGATGGCCACTAAAGTCCCTTATAATTCCTAAAATCCCATAATTCTGTGATTTCTTCTCCTTCTCCTTCTCCTTCATCATCACCCCATTGCCACCATCACAATTACTACTGAATAGTATTGTTCAAGCATTCTCATGGTAGTATCTTTGTTTACCATTGTTAAACACATTGACCAACAAGTACTCACTCATCTCATAGAGACTTGGTTTGAGTTCACAAAATCAGCAGTTGCCAAAGTAATTATATGTATTGGCACATGCCTACCTGCCTTTTACTCCTTTTTAGTCTTGGTTTCACAATGAACTTTGGAGAAGTGATGTTCATTTGTTGAAATTCTGAAATACAGTAAAACAAATAATATTTTACCAACCGTAACAGGTGTGCCAAAACTTCTTCCATATTGATCCACTGTTTTTAGTTCTTCCCACACTTAGTAATTCTACAACAATCATGCATCTGATGGTAACAAACCCATTTGTAAGACGATAGATTTAGAACTCAAAAGGTCTGCCTTTAGAGGCTATCTAGTGAGAGCCCCTCATTTCATAGATGAGGAACTGATATCTAGAGAGATTAAGTTATCTGCCCAAGATCACAAAGATAGTGTGAGAGGTACGAGGTCCTCTGACTTCAATTCCAGACCTCTCACCAACAACAGTTAAAAAAAGCAGAACCAGATGTTGACAGTCCCACAATAGTCATAGGCTTGGAGCCCATAAAGAAAATCTATAACAATTTCTCATAAGATCTTTATTTTACCCCCAATATTTTTGGCTCACCCCACCAACAACCATCACCTCTTCATCAGATACTACTATCCAAAAAATGTGATTTTAATCTTTGACATCAACCACCGTTTATCTTAACGAGTAGTGAAATGGATAGAGGAAACTGAGAGCATGAGAAGAAAATGAACCTGAATAACTTGTAACCACACCAAAAACTCACAAATAATCAAGAGTTGATGAAGGGGTACTGTAGCATTGCACAAGTCAGCATGATATAGTCAATAGGGAACAGGGTCCACCTTGGAGTCAGAAAGATCTGGGCTCAAGTCACATTTCTGACGTATGTGGGCAATGTGACCACACATAAATCACTTACTCTCTCCATACTCTGAAACCACAAACTGTAGCTCATTTAGCCTATCTGTTTCTGGTAGAGAAATTATATTTCTGGATTTAGAAAAACAAACAAGCTCTCATTTTGCCAATAACATAATACTTACTAATCCTAATCTCTTTAGAACCTAAGATCCACAGGCGCCATGACAATTCTCAGGGCAGAGTTACACAGAGATTACATGTATATATATATAAACTACACTATGGACCTTACCTATAAATAGGGAAATATTTGTATGGAAATAGATGAAATATTACAAATTTTCCTATGGGGCTGCTAACCTTCTAAAAACTTGATGGTTCAATGAGCAGAATGAAGGAACTCTTTGGTGGGCTAACCATGTGATATATGCCCTGCAATTATCACTATTTCCACTACTCATGTAGATGAACTGAATGTTTGACTGAATTCATACCACAGCCCTGGCTGTGCTAATTTTATTTTCTAAACATATATTCATGTACTATGTTTATGGGGGAAAAAATCACACTAAATACTCAATCTATGTAACACTAAGAGAATTCTGAAATATCTAGGCAAATATTCACTAAGGAAAGTAGTGACTATTCAGAATAAAGAAATTTCTACTCAGAATAAGAAGATTTCTTCTCAGAACAAGAAAAAGTTAAAGTTGCAAAGTTCCTTTTAAGTATATTTGCCAAAATATGTACCTGGTCAAGTTTACCAGTTGGGCAATATGTGAAAGAATCTGTCTATTTACTTATGAAAACTTGTTAGGACTACAAGAAATACCATGTATTTGATTTCTTATCATGGGGCAAAAATGAGCTTGCATTCAGTAAGGTCCCCAGGTCTTTTTCAGATGCACTGCTCTCTAGCTGTGTTTCCCCCATCTTGTATTTGTGAAGTGAGTCATCAGTTGGGATAATTTTTGCATGTGGTTCCTCGCCATTGATAATGAACTGCATTATGGTGGAGTGAAAAGACCTTTAAATGATTTGGAGTCAAAGGGCCAGGTGGTAGCAAAGAAGGAAATTTAGGGCTGAGGTCTAGAAAAACTTCCTTACAATTAGAGATATCCCAAAGTAGAATGGGCAACTATGGCTGATGCTTAGTTACCCCTCCCTGGAAGTCTTGAAACAATGGTGAGATGACCATGTGTCAGCAACATGATAAAGGAAATTCTTTTCCAGGTATTGGTACAGATAGCTACTATGTGGCCATAGTGGGTGTTTCAGGTACTACGTAGCCACAGTGGATGTCCTTAACTTTCTTATTATCTTATATAGAAGTAGAATAGGGTTGATGGTCTTATTGGGTCTGGGCAGTAAATTTACTTTTCAATGTAGATTTTGTGCTTCTTCTAAACCAAAATTTACTGAAATGTACACAAACGAACTTCTTTTTCTCTTAATTGACATATGTCTTTCTAAACTTCTCAGGAGATGAAGGGCTACCATTAATGCATTCTGCCGTTCTAAGAGAGGCAAATTCATAAATGAGAAGAAAACAGTAGGATGCCACAGAAAAAGAAGAATGGGAGGGGAGCACATAAAAATTAAATTCATCCATAGACAAGTTTCTGAAGAAGGAACTGTTTGATAGACATTAATACTAATGACAGGACTGCTAAGTCATCACACAGACTACCTGCTTTAAAAGAACCCTGGGTGACAACGAGGAATTATAGGGTATCTTTTAGCAAGTCGGTAATCCAATAGTATCAGAGGAGGGAAGAATGTCATTAATTACTTGGACCATTAGTCCTACATCATTACTGTTTTACCGGATAGATATCACTCCCTGGAATGCTTATTAAATCACACCTTTGTTTTCGTGTCTATTTCTTGTTTCATGTTTCGTGGTTATTACTAATTCTCCTCACATAAGAAGGATTCTGGGAAGTTTCACAAAAACACAGAAATAGCAGCATGATGGGTTTTGTGGTAAGATGATAAATGTACATTCATAGAGGTCCCTCATTAACCGGCTGACTTTTCTCATTTGCACCTCCTTCAAAAGTGTTGTTCTATTTCGTGAAGGATATATTCTAGTATCTCCTGGTAACAGGGTCAAGAAATCACTGGATCAGAGAGATGTAAGGAAGCATATTCCAACTCTGTCATTTTACTGGTGAAGAAGCAAGTCCAGAAAGGTTAATTAGTTTGTTTGAGGTCACATTGCTAATTGGTGACAGAATCAAATCCCCGGCTTTTCCCACTACCCCACACACCTCTCCCAGGATGCACATTCATTGATCCACACTGCCTAATCATGGGTGAATTGGTGGTAGAAGGGAGGAAGAAGCCATTTACAAACTAGGCAACTTAAAACTACAGAAGTCCAAGAAATCCCCTTGCCTCCAGAAAGAGAAAACTGGGTGTAAAGTATTAGTGCAACAGGCGTAGGTATAGCAGGGAGTGGGAGAATTCTTAGAATTCTAACCATAGATGAAAAACATTTACCATTTTTGCCAGTTCACTACAATTTTGTAACTTATCAAATGTGAACATATAAATAATCCATTGATATAAACCAATCTTGCTCTAATTGGGCATCTTTATTGCTAGCTTGCATGGCATCGAATTTAAAGAGATTTCCTTCAGTTTGCCCAGGATACACCTTCCCCAGCAAATGCATTATAAACATAAAGGAAATTTGTATTTTCCTTCACACTTCAGCATGACTCTGCATCTGAAATTCTCATGAACAACTAGGGGCTAACGACATTCTCCATGCAGATTAGTTCCAAGGCACTGAAATGAAATAATAAAGAACTTTTTAAAAAGTGAGCAGATGGGAATCATACCAGATGGCAGGTCATCCAAGGGAAATTCAAACAGTTTGGATTTGTAAACTGAGTGGAAATGGAAGTCCTCCTGAAATAACACAAATCAGCACAGTTTAAGCATAGAAAACAAACCATCTCACAGCCTCAGGCAATCCCCTCTATTGGCTACAAAACCAGATATATTTAGAAGCATCATGATTTCATTCTATTCCCAGTCTTGGCCTTGAAGGGAAATGAGCCACCATCCATCCTCTTCTCTGTACTCCAACAGTCTTGTCTATATATAACCACAAAGATAAATAATAAGCTATAAGGTGCTACATAAGTTATTGATTATCATTATTAATATTAATTATTTGGGGAAAATGTGGCATAGTGGACCTGGAATTGAGAAATCTGGATTCAGATCTCAGCTTGAATTGATAAGTAAGTAAGGACATAATAAGTAAGTACTTTTGAGTTAAGAAGGCACAGGCAACTCATTTAATGGTTCTGAGCCTCAGTTTCCTCAACTGTAAAATTGGAGGTAATAATATTGGTACTATCTACTTTACAGGGTTAGCATGAGGACAGCATTTTACGAATCATAAAGCATTATCGACATGCAAGTCATTACATAAGAGGGAGGAGTCTTTGATTAACCTCAGGAGCACAGAATTTAAGTGTAGAATTGGAAGGGAACTCAGAGGTGATCTAGTCTCACCTGCTCCAACCCACTCATTTTACAAATGAAGAATCTGAGCCTCAAAGTAATGAAGGACTTGACCAAAGTCTCACAGGTTTAGGTGTCAGAGCTGAGAGTCCAACTGGGTCCTCTGACTCCATCTAGGGCCCTGTTTCTTGGAAGTCCAAACTCTAATAACATGGGTGCTACAGCACTGAAAACAAATGAGTTGATCTATTTGATTGTATGGAAGAGCCAACTGAAAATCATAAGATCACAGGATTTAGAGCTGGAAAGAACCTTTGGGGCCATGGAGACTAATTCCCTCATGTAAAAGACAAGGAAACTGAGACAAGAGAAATTAAGTGAGTTGTCCATTAGCAAATGCCTAAGGCTAGATTTGAACTAAGGTTTTCCTGACTCCAAGTCCAGTGGTCTATCCACTATGCCATCTAGTTGCCCTAGCAGAAGATGGTTTTGGTCCATTGACTTTCGGGTAAAACGTTCAGCACATTTCTACTGAGTCACACCGCTAGATAAAGAAAAGATCTGCATTGCAGATGAGGTGATTTCTTCTCAGCCTTAAACCAAGCCTCCTTGAATAGCTGCACTTTAAGACCTAGCTTTTCAAGAGTGCCCCTTAACCATAGAAATATTTGCGCCAGAGCTCCCTGCTGTTCCGAAGGAAATGATCGATGTCTCGAGCAAAAACTGTACTAAAACCAAAGTGTCATACAAAGGGAGGTGAAAACAGAAAACACAGCACTCTTCTCCTCTAAGAACAATCAGTGGCTTTTGAAAGAATTCCTTTTTCTTCATCCATTTATTCATGATACTGATTATTAAGAATTTGATGCTACTGAATGAGCATCATGGTCAAGAATTATCTGCAAAATCACCTCAAAGATGCATTACTGCACCAAATAATGATGTAGTGAGCAATTGGCAGATGGGGAAAATGTATATTATTAAGGTGGTTTTGAAAGAAGATTGCGAGTGAATGGAAAAATCTTTGTGGGTTCATCAAAATTATTTTGCTTGCCTAAGTCATTTAAACAATACTACAGGATGCAAGGAAACATTCTTGGCTTTCCATCATGGCAATGGACCCTGTTTTTATCTATAGTCAATGATATAAACTCAATCTTTATCTAATTATAGATGAGGAGATCTTCTGTCACAACAAAGGAAAAGAAGAGGATGACCTAAGAGTCTCAGTCCATTTCTACCCTTAGATTTTAATAGGAAACCACATTACTTACCTCTGGACAGAGGGAGAGGTGATAGACTTGGGGTGCAGAACGAGACATTTTTTTGGATATGACCAATGCAGAATTTTGTTTTGCTTGACTCTGCAAGTTAGTTAAGAGCATTTTGTTTTTGTTTCCCACCTCCCCCAGTGGAAACAGGGGTTTGGGTATGGGAGGAAGAGAAAAATAGAATCTTGTTAATTAAAAAAATAATAATTTAAAAAGACTTTAAATATGAGCAGCTTTGGGGAGGGGGAATGGTATCTGGGGAAAACAGGGTGATATAGGAAGAAGAGGTCTCAAGAAGCCTCAAAGAGGAAATATGTCTAGTCTCACAGAAACTCTCATAGACTGGTAGCTTCAGAAGCCCTCCTGGTAATATATTCAATCTCACAGGCCAGATTCCCCTAAATCCTGCCTTCTCTCCCCTCCCTAAAATCCAACATCAAGATTTTGTAAGGGCAAGGAGGAAGATGCATAAAGCTGCTGGCATTACTTATTCCCTTTGACCAATAAAACATTTGCCTTCCACTTGGACTAACGGAAGCAAAGCGTACCTGGGAGGTGTCATTTTCTTCTGGCTCGATAAGATATGTGTGGTTCCCATCATAGAACATTCCGCTGTCAAGGACAGGAAAATGATTAATCAGAGGTATTGACTTATTCTCCAGATCCCAATCATTTAAGAAATCACAAGCAGCTACACCTTCAGGTTATTATTCTGTCTGACTTCCCCACTCCTTCGTTCATTTGCTCCACCAACATTAACAGGCCAGTCTAGAAATGCTTAGTGTCTGAGTTTTCAAGGCTCAGTGCTAGCTAGGCATTGCACAATAAAGTTACACTACTGGGTTTCTGCTCTCAAAGAAGATAATAAGCTATAGAAAAGCAAGTCCTGGGAGTGTAGGTGGTGGGAGGCCAAACAGCATTATCGGCAACCCTTTAAAGTATTTACTGAGTTCTCCAATCTTCTGCTTTGTTTTATGTAATTGTTTTGATGGAAGGGAGGATGGAGAGGGAGTGGGAAGGGTCAAGGGAGAACAAAGGAGAAAAAGGGAAAGGAAAACAGAGCTACAGATTGAGGTCTAAAAAATGGAGGGTGGGGAAGGATTAACAGGAGAAGTGGAGGACAGAATTGAGAGAGGAAGCTACGGCTCTTTTTGCTTAGCATCTGTCCTCGTAACATGAAATAGGCCTATCGATTTTCCTTTACAGTACTGCTGCAAGACTAGTCACTCAGCTGGTTTTCACTCATATGACCCTGTCTCCTGTTTGTCAATGGGGCCAGCAAAGTGATGAATGTCAGAGGCATCCAAAATGCTTACCTTTGGGAATCAATTCAGTGCATTCCAAAATACCACGTGAAAGAACCTTCCCATTTATCCAGAATCAAACAAAGAGATAATCAAAATACCAGAATTTTCTCTAAAAGGCTATCTAAAGTATGATCAAAACTGCTGTTTGTGAATTAACATTTATCACTCATTCTGTAAATGTTCATGTGCTGCATCATTCAAGCTATCATTATTATTATCATTACAATTGTACAAGGTTCTTCAATGACTTCTGCCACCAATAATTCAAAAAGTAAAAATTAGGTTTAAGGACAAAAGTCACTTAAGAACCTTGCATTGATAATTCCAATTTACCTCCCCTTATTTCACTGAGAAAATTGGGGCAATTTAATGTGAACTTCTTCTATTCTTCCCAATTCCTTAATAGGACATCATTTCATATTCTCACCTCCTTTTCCCAAATCTCATACTTAACACATCTAAAACTGAACCATTGTCTTTTCTCCAAGACTAATTCCTCTTCTAATCTTCCTGATTTCTGCTGAAGACACCATCATCCCTCCAGCCTCCCAGATTTGTGACCTCTGTGTTCAATCAGTCACCAAATCTTGCTGTTTCTACTCTCACAATATCTCTTGCATCTTATCTCTTTACTCACCCAGCTACCATTTTAGTTCAGGTGCTCATCACTTTTCACCTAGATTATTTGGACAGTTCCCTTCCTAACCCGTCTCCCTACCTCAAATCTTTCCCCATTTCATTCCATCCTCCACTACCGAAGCGATCTTCTTAAGCACCGATCTGACCACGTCACTGCTCTTCTAAACTCCAGTGACAATTGCCTTTAAGCCAAATATAAATTACTCTTCTTTTTAAGCACTTCAAACCAAGCCCCAACATATCTGCAGTCTCAGGTGAGCCTTACTTTCTCTCCCACTCTGATCCAGACAAACTGCCGTTTCTCTGTTCTTAACACATGATACTCCATCTACCATATCCATGCCTTGACACTGGCCATCCCCCATGCCTGGGATGTACTCCCTCCTCATCTCTGCCTCACAGAATCCCTTTCTTCCTTACAGAGGTCAGCTCTAGCCCTTCTTAATCCCTTAAAACAACAGTGCCTTCCTTCTCAAACTATCTTGTACTTAACTGTTTTGATCTATCCTCTTTATATTTATCCTGTTCAGTGTTCAGTTGTGTCTGACTCCTTGTGGCCCCATTTAGGTCACAAAGTATCTTGGCAAAGATACTGGAATGGTTTACCATTTCCTTCTCTAGTACATTTTACAGATGAGGAAACTGAAGCAAACAGGGTTAAGTGACTTGCCCAGGGTCACACAGTTAGTAAGTGTTTGAGGCTGGATTTGAACTCAGGTCTTCCTGACTCCAGACCAGCACTCTATGCACTGTGCCAAATAGCTACCAATTTATTCTGTACATACTTATATTTTTCACTATAAATTTCTCATATAAATATGAGTAGGATTTGTTTTATTGCTTATAGTTGTTCTACCAGCACTGATCACAGTACATAGTAGGATATTAATATTAATAGAATTAATATCAGGATATTAATAAATGCTTGTTGATTGATTCTAAGATTTAAAATTGTGCCAATGCCATTGTACTTTATTGTAGTCTAATTTTAAGGAAATCAGTAATGCATGTATGACATGTCTATAAAGAAGGACACAGCAAACCACTCCAGTACCTTTGCCAAGAAAACATCAAATGGGGTCACGAAGAGTAGGACATGATTGAAAATAACTGAACAATAATAGCACACATATAACTCTTACAATAAATGCTTACTACATAGAAAGCACTGTGTTTAAGGAAAGACCTAGCACCAAACACTGGGAAGTGATTATTTCTTACAATATTCCCCAATCATTTTGGATAAATGAGAATATATTGTAAGGTTGGAATTTCAAGTAAGAAATGTTGCCAGCCACTGCTCTGATCACCACTTACCCGGATGTCAGATGGTTATGATAAACTTTAGAACCATAAATGACTAATATCTATAATGGGTCTGAATTTTTCATTCTACCTGCTCCATTAAACTATTGCCTACTTCTTCTACCTATTTGTTCACTTGTGTGAGTACACTTGAGATCCTAGAAGACTTTACCCTCTATACTATGTATAGGTCAGCAGTAAAAATTATGACTCCAGAAATATAAACAGGAAGTCTTAAATCAAGTGATAAAGGAAGGAGCTGGGCTTCAATCCCAGGACCAATTCAATCCCAGAATTTCATATAAAATGGAGATTGGACTAGACTGTGTCCAAGACCCCTTACATCTCTAATGTTCTAAGGTGTTATGGACCTCAGTCTTTGTAACAATACTGAGTAATGTGATCACCTTTTCATGTTATATTCATTTAGGAAAGTATATGCTTATGAGTTTAAGAGTATTTTAGGTTAGGAACTAATACTAATCAAGTAATTTTATTTAAAATGTTTATTAAACAACATATTATAATATAATAATAAACAACATATGGTTTATTAAACAAACAAGTAGTTGGTTGCTAGCTTGCCACACCTTGATTACATTCTACCTTTCTAGGCGTATCTTTTATTACTCTCCTCTCATGCTCCACCCAAATGGGTCATTCCTCTGCCTCTTGAATATGAATTGTGTTCTTTCACATCTTCCTTCCTTTGCTAGGAATGCCCTCTCTCCTCTTTTCCTTTTGAATGCCTACTCATTCCTTAAAACCAACATAAATGTAAAACTCCCTCAGGAAGGGTTCCCTGACCCTCCCCACTCCATTGATAATATCAAATGAGATAATATTTGTAAAGTGCTTAGCACAGTGCCTGGAACATAGTATGTGCTTAATAAAGAAATTTGTCCTTTCCTTTCCTTTCATGTACTATATAACACTGTGTCTGTATCTCATCCTGATTCTGGACTATGGTCTCCTTAGTGGCACTTGATAGCTCTTCCAGTGCCCTGGCACACTGTTCTGCACACAGTTGGAATTTAGAAAATGTTTATAGTCTTGTAAATATCACTCATATATATGGTATCCAAAAAGTCTTAAGTGCACACACCCCATGATTCCAGTGGTATGGGGAACCACCAGTGAGAAACTTCTTCTACCAGTGTAGATGGATCATCATGCGTTCTATAATTTACAGTCTTAGGGAATTGCCTCAGGCACTGACAGTGGTGGAAAAGTGGATCCCATTAGGTACACAATACATAGTAGTGAAGGACCATAGTAATCTAATGTAATCATAGTAATCATAGTAACCCAGAAATGCGAGCTTTTGGGACAAGAACTCACCATTAGACAAAAATTGGTGGGAAAAGTGGAGAGCAGTTTGGCAGAAACTAGGCATAGACCAACATCTCACACCATATACCAAAGAAAGGTCAAAATGGATAAATGACTTAGACATAAAGGGTGATATTATAAATAAATTAGGGGAGCATACAAAAATTTACCTGTCAGATCTAAGGATAAGGGACGAATTTATGACCAGGGTCACATAGTCAGCATGTACCAGAGCAAAGACCTAAACCCAGGTCTTTCTGACTATGGCAATCTAGTTAATATGTAAGACAAGTAGTTTTATGTCATATGGGAAAAATATAAAATTTTGTGCATTTTAAAAAGCAAACTTAGTGGTTTTCTTCTTTTATAAATTATTTGATTTTATAATTAATTTCATTGAGTTTATAATTAATATTTTTTTATTTTCCAAATGCAATTTTTCTTTTCTATTTATGAAAGTCAAAAATTAAAAATAAGGTAGTATCTTTGTATTTCAATACTAAAATATGAATTTAACTGTTAAAAATGCAAGCAACATGATAAATCTGTTTTCCATTTTACAGTGTTTTCATTTTTGTCTTAAAGATACCACAATTTTTAATGTTAAAAATCATGAGTAAATGCTTCCAAATTCTTCAAGTCTAGATCCCACAGAGACTTATTCACCCCTACTAACATCATTTCCTATTTTAAAATTTCAGAGTTCCATGAAAATAACTTGTTGAAAGGAGATGAAAGCAGCCATTTTTATAAGTCACCACCAGGGGGTGGTAAACTCACATATGAGTTGCTTCCTGCTCTGACAACCTGTTCTAAAATCAAAGCTGGTGGGTCACTGCACCCCCCCAGACCTGGGACATTACAGAGCAATCTTTCATCTCTGGAATATGTGTCTTTGCAAGTTCTATGTGAAAAAGCACCCAAACTTTAATATTTCCCATTTTGTTTTCTTTATCTTAAGGCTACAGATAGAAAAAAAAAAATCTATCTTTATGTCATTGTGTTCTTGGTTATTTACAAGAGGCAAGTCATGGCTAGACCAGCATAATCCCTCTGCCTGAGACATCATGTACCATGATTTAATGCTTAATAACTTCTCACAAAATACATTTTATCTAGGGCTTCTTGATCTGACTGACAGTCGAGAAGACGCCGCAAGTAAAACTGGGTGACAAAGTGTCTATGACAGGGTATGAGTAAAGCATTTTTATTCCAAATTCTTATCTAATGAAATCTAAGCCAAAGTAATCCTACCTGCACATAGCTATGAGCATACCACTAAGCCACAAATTATGAAAAGATATCTGTGCCTAGAAGGAAAGTGATTTAATAAAGTTTTATTTTATTTTTTTGTGATTTTGGTAATGAAACTCTTTCAAAAATGCAGATTCTGCAATTTAAGCTCTCAAAGAGCTGACCACTAAGAGGTTAAATGACTTATCCAGGGTCATACAACCATTATGTTTCAGAGGTAGAATGTGAATCTAGGTCTTCCTGATTCCAAGACTACTCCATGATGGTTCTCTGTAGCATCTCCCTTACCAGATACTTGTTCATAAGACTTCCATTTTTGAGCTGAAAAATCTCCAACTACAAATTGGCACTGACTCTAGATTATATAATATCCAGCATTGTTGGGTCTCAACGGTTCTTAGAAATCATTTGGTCTAATCTTGTTTTACAGATAAGGAAACTGAGGACAAGGAAGATCAAGTGAAAAAGCTAATTAGTGCCTGAGTTATAACTCAAACCCAAGTTGAGTTGGGAAAGAATTTTCTTACCATGAAGGTTGTAAGCTAGGAAGTAGGCAATTGAGAACAGGCACGTACTGCCTTCTATGAAGATCTAAGGGAACAGAACCACCATGAATCTAGTATGGGCTAGGATTAGTCTGCCTGAAAGCAAAGGTTTCAAATACATGAACTTCTACCTGCTGCCCGTTTCCAAATACAATATCATTAGGTCATACACCAATAAATTACTGTTAGATGTTTATAGAGGGACTTAGTATAATGGATAGAGCATTGGAGCTAGGAAGACCTTGGTTCTAGTCTCACCTCTGACTTATACTAGCTGTGTGACTGTAGGCAAGTCACTTAATCTCTTGTTTCCCAGGCAATTCTAAAAATTAAGTTATAGAGAATCTGCCAATCTGTGTCAGTGGAGAGAGCTGTCACATGAGGAGTTACCCACACTACTGAAATCGTGAGTATGGACTATGTATCTATCTATATCTATACCTATACACACATACATGTACATATACATATATACACACATACATAGGCATGTATATGTATAAACATATATATATGCACATTTGTGTTAAAAATACTATAATGTAACTAAGGTCAATAATGAGAAAAGCCATAGAAAAATCAACCAAATTATTCAATCCTCAAAGCTATACAATCTGATAAAAATCAGGTTAAAGGCACCTCCAAAGAATATTATTTTTAAGGGAAAATTCTAAGCAGTACATAATAAAAACATAGTTTCAATAATAGCCCTGATTCAGAAAATCCTTTCGGCATAGAAACAGCTAGAATGTAAGCTCCTAGCTAGACAAATCTAACAGAAAGATAACTAAAATGGAAAATGTAGAACTGAAAAAAAATATTGGAGAATTTAGAGGTGAAAGACATTCAATCTTATGAATAGGAAGATTAATGAATATACATATGTTTCAGCACCACATGGTACCTTTACAAAAACAGACCATGTGTTAGAACATGTAAATTAGTATATAAAGAAGATTTAACTAAATGCATCATTTACAGGCTACAATACAACAAAAATAATAAATATAGGAGACACAAGCAAAAGCTAAATGCTTAATTAAAGCTTTAAAAAGCTTAATAATGACATCCTGAATAAGTAGGTTAAATAACAAATCATAGAAACAATAAATATGTGGAAAGAGATGATGAAGATGATAATGATGAATAATGATTATGAGATAATGATGGAGACAATATATCAGAATTTCTAGGTCAAGACTAAAACAGTCCTCAGAAGAAAAATTATATTCTTAGAACGTAAACTCTTTAACGGTATGACTTGCTTCATTTTTACTTCTACATTCCCAACACCCAGCTCAAAATCTGGCAAGTAGTAAATACTTAATATTTTGTTGAATTGATGGGAAAAAAAAAGAGGGAAGAGCCTGGTCCATCCCTGATCTGCAGTTAAACCTTATCCTGATCTAGTCTACAATAGGCCAGGATAACAGTAACATCAGAGACAGAGCATTAAAAGGTACTGGAGAAAAAGCGTAACTGAGTAACTTATAAAACTTACTGGAGTCCATGGCATGTCGACAGGGCAACAAAGGAATCAGGGTATCCTCTAATGTAGCCATGGTAGTAACAATGTTCTCCTCCCTGCAAGTGGAAATAGAGAAGATAAAGCTTTGGCCATCATAGGGAGAAAAAGCTGCATCACTTCACACAGGTTCTTCCCAGAGTGCTATTTCCATTCTCATAGATCTAAAACCACAATTACTTGGAAAGAAGAAAGGGAGGGAGGAAGGAAGAGAGGGAGGGAGAAATGAAGGAAGGAAGAAGGAAGGAAGGAAAGAGGGAAGAAGGAAGGAAGGAAAGAGGGAAGGAGGAAGGAGAAAGGGAGGGAGGGAAAGACAGAAGGAAGGGAGAAAAAAGTTGACATCAGCCTCATACAGCCATTAAAAATAGCATAACTGATAAATTCTCCAAGTAAGCCAAAACCAAAAGGCAGGTTAGTGTGCAGTCAAATCAAAGCACTGGGAAATGTAAGCTGACTTAGCTGTCTTTTCATCTAAGTGATGCTGGTAAAAGAGAGAGAGACATGGAAAGAAACCCAAGCAGCATTTGAACAGGGAAAGGGGGGGGTTAATCTATTTATTTCCCCACCAATTAAGGACTCCTTGCAGAGCAGTGAATTTACCTGATCCCCACTGAGTGAAAGTGATTGTGAATCATAGGATTTTCACAGAAAACAAAAAACAAAACATCTGCTTGTTCTACCTCTGTAAGGTCCAAAAATAGTCTGATACAGCAAATTCCTTTCTCAAGGGCTGGTTTTACCAGTAAGCAGAGTAGACAATTGCCAACAAGTTGTGATTTAAAATCGAAGGGACTAAGGAAGTCCCCTTTACCCAAAATCTCTCCTTCCTTCCCTGCCTAGTTCTTTCTTCCTGTTGTGGCATTGCCTAAAACCCACTGTCCCAGAAGCAGCATGACATAGTGACTAGATCCTGTTGTCAAAGACAGAAGGACCCAAGTTCAAGGTCTGCCTCTGATATATCCTGGTTCTGTGACTCTCCGCAAGTTACTTAACTTCTTAGTACTCCAGGCAACTCTAAGGCTGTAAGTTGCACAGAAAGTAGCCATCTGATTTGGTGGAGGGAATTTCCTCACCTGGAAGCTCCCTATACGAAATGACATCATGGGTACTGTCCCCACCTCAAGGCTCCACTCTACCCTCCCAATCTCCCCAGCCTTCTCACCTCACAGATGCCTCTGCCCTGTGTCCCTCTCTTCAGATAGGGGAGCACCTATCCCCAACCTCCATTTCATGAGGCGCCCAGATCATGATCACTTCACTCCTACCTCCACTCAGGTTTCAGGATTTTTCCCTCCCCTCCTCCCCCTGTACTCTTCTTGACCTCCCTCTCTTTCCAGCTCCCTCTCATGTGTCAATCAGTCAGTCAATATAACACCTACTACATGCTATGCACTGTCCTAAGGCTGTCTTCTCCATTTCAGTGCAATCTCCTCAAGGGTAGGGCCTGTCTTTATTTGCTTATAGTTGTATTATCATCATTACTATGCGTCTAATAAATGCTTGTCCTATCCATCTAACTATCAAACCATCTATCGATCTATCTTTCTTTCTATTAATCTACCTATCTCAAACAGGTATCTACTTTTAAAAGGTAAATATTCCTGCAGGGTAACAAGCTAAAAGATTTTTTAAAATATCCATGTATGAATCAGTTTAATGTAATCCTTTTTATCTAAGGGTACATTCAGAGAATGGCAGTTTTCATTGAGGGTAAGGGCAAGGCAGTGAGGAAAGAATTAGGTGGGGAAGGAAAGAGAAGTAATTTTGAAGCATAAGACACTGCCTAGAAATAGCAGATGCGGGCAGGATATTGCCATGGGGAACCCTGAGTAGCTGAGGGGAGCAGGAAATACCGAGTCCTTCAGTGAAAGGGGGAAAAGGGATAGAGGTAAAGAAAGGAAAGTGTGTCTTCTACATTCTGGGCCTAACCACAGTGTTGTCCGGGAATGAGCCCGCTCTTCATAAGCCAGTCCCTTCAGAATTTGATGCGTAGACGGGAGGATTAGGTAAACAAGAATAACCCTGGTCTAGTTTGGGGACGAAGGCACCAATAAGAGTTCCAGCGAGGTCATTTAAAACAAGACTGAGTTCTTCCTAGGATTATCTTGTTTCTGTATTTTTGAGTCTAGTCTCCTTTTTGCAGATCCAACTAATTATAAAGAAGCAGCAGAGCCATTCCCAGGTGCACTCACCTCTGGGTTGGCCTGGGTTGGCCTGGGTTGGCCTGGGTTGGCCCGTGCAAATAGGTAGACCATGCACATAGGCAGAATAGGCAGCTGCCTACATGGTGCAATGGAAACCCTCTTCTCTCAAATATCTCCCTCATCTGTAATGTTTGCCCCAACTTGCTCTTTTGGGTGAATTCCAGAGTTTGGTCTTCTTCATCATCATCATTAGCAGCAGCCGCAGCTAACATTTACATTAGCTAACATAGTGCTTACTATGTCCCAATACTGTGCTAAACACTTTTATAATTATTATCTCATTTGATCCTCATAACAACCTGGGAGGTAGATACAATTGTTGTTCTCATTTTACAGATGAGGAAACTGAGGCAGACAGAGGTTAAGTGACTTGTCCAGGGTCACACAGCTCATACATGTCTGAGGCTGGATTTGAACTCAGGTCTTCCTGATTCCAGGCCTGGAACTCTATCCACTGTATTAATTTAGTTACTCCAAAAGACCCTTGTGAAAATGCAAAAGTGTTGCCTGGAAAGGATGACAAACTAACCTTTTAAATTAAAAAAAAAAACCCCACATTCAATAAACATTATAAACCACTTATGGTTAGGGGGAGAAAGAGAGGAAGAAGGGGAGGGAAAGAGAAGGAAAAGGGAAGAGAAGGTTGAGTACAACACTAGGCCAGGTATTGAGGGAGATGCAAAGCACAGATAAGACAGAGTCCCCGTCCACATGAAGATTACAATCTAATAGAGGCTGAGACAGTAAGGTAGTTATAACGCAGAGGGGTGGATCACACATTAACCATGATCATACGAAGAAAGGCATATCAGAATAAGAATATCGAAGGGGATTTAGAGAGTGCATGAAAAAAATACTTTGATAATTTATGCACTGTAATTAATTTATTCAAATGAAAAGTTATTAAACAAGTTGAGTTGCTGGATCGATGTTCATTGTTAAAATTCTAATAAACTAGAATAGGGATAAAGACATGCCCTATGATTTCATCGATACAGAGAATTCTACCAATACAAGTTGCCACTTTCTCTGCAAGGTGGAGTCTTAGGTCCTTGAACATAGAGAGATTGGGTAACCTCTTTCCAGCCAATAGGTGTCAGAGGAAAGACTTGAATCCAGGTCTTCTAAGGGCAGCTCTCTAACCAGTAAAATACACTGTCTTTCTTTTGATAAAATAGTTTAAAAAAATAGAATCACATGAAAAAATTAGAAAGTGTGATGTGAGAAGACTTCCTATATAAGGTAGCATTTGAGCTGAAAAAGATAATTTGGAATTCAGCAGGCAGAGAAAATGGGATAACATTCTAGACATATGGAACATGCTGAATAAATATAAGAAGCAAAGTATGTAAAGTGTGTGTGAGAGACACTGGTCAGGCAGGATAGGGCAAGGGAGGGACTGGGAATTGTCCAGTTTGGTTGGAACACAGACTTGGTGTAGGAAAGTAATATGAGATAAGTTTGGAGAGTTAATGTTCTTAGATATTGTGGAGGTCTTTAGTGCCAGGTAGATAAATCTGAACTTTACTTGATGGGTAATAGGGAGGCAGTGAAGAATTTTTTTTAATGGAAGACCATCATGAATATATGTATAAATAAGGAAGATTAATGTCGAAGTAGGAGGAAAGGGTAGAGGAAGGACGACCTCTTAATAGGCTATTGAAATAATCTATGCAAGGGATAATGAGGGCTTTTACTATGATGGTGACAGGAGGAGAAGAGGTGAGGGGATGAATGCGAGAGATGTTACAAAGGGAATATGAGAGGTGAGAGAGAGAGAGGGAAGAGTCATAGAGAACACATACTTTCGAACATTGTAGACTGGGTTAATGGCGGTTCCAGTGACATAAAAAGGAGAAGCAGATTTAAGAGGAATGATAATAAGTCCAGTTTTAGACATACTGCATTTGCAGTGATGGCAGGACATTCAGGTAGAGAAGTGTCATAGGCTACTGGTGGCTTGGATCTGGAATGTGGAACAGAAGTTAGGGCTAGATAAATAGAAGAAAGAGCCATTTGAACTGAGAGAGTAGTGGAAACCACGGGAGTGAATGGAATTCAACTCAACAAGCATTAATTAAGCACCTGCTACCTACCAAGCACTGAGCTAGGCACTAGGGGTACAAAGACAAAAAATAAATGGAGCTTACATTCTGCAGGAATGCCAAGGGAGAGAGCTTACAGAAGGAAGAGAAGGACAAAGTAAGCACCTTGGGCAACATTCAACTCTGAAGAATCAGATAAAGGCTTAGAGGTCAGTGAATGATTCCGAAAAGGAACAATTAGAAAAGGAAGAGAATCAGGACGATGTGTTGTCTCTGAAGCCAAGGAATCCAGTGGGAGGGAGTGGTCTGCAGTGTCAAATGCTCCAAAGGGTCAATGGGAAGAAGGCTTTATAAAAAGGTCATTGGATTTAGCAGCTAGAAGGGCAATGGCAATGTCTTGGAGAGAAGTTTCAGTAGAATGATGAGGGAAAACATTGCAAAAAGCTGAGCTAAGGAATGAGTGCGTGTTGAGTCACTGAAGGGAGAGGATATAGATAATGTTTGTTCGGTTGTTTTGTTTTTTCCCTTCAGAAATGTAAAAGCGAAAGGGAAGGTGACAGAGAGCTTAGCTATATGGAGTAGAAGAGTCAAGGGAAAGCTTTTAGGCTTAAGGAGAGCTAAGTATATTCAAAAAGGGAAGAAGTCGGGGGCAAAGGGAAAGAATGAAGATTAGTGAAAGAAAAGGGATGACAGCTAGAGCAAGGATGGGGAAGATGTAGAAGGAAATGGGAGTCAAGGCACAAGCAGATGAATTAGCCTTAGTGAGTAGGAAGAACAGGTTGTTTTGTGACCAAAGGGAAACCATGAACA